ATAGAAACAACTCAATTTTCATTTTAAATCACATTTTAAATTTTTTTAAAAAATAATGTGCATAACAAACAACAATAAAATAAATTGCTTCTTTTTTTAAAAAAAAAAATTGGGAATAGATATAGCCCAATAGATAATCCACTTCAAATAACAATACATTTTTTTAATGAGTACAATTTTGCTTGTTAGGCCAAATATTGGCCCAATAATTTCAGCAAGGAAACATATCTCACATAGAAAATACAAGTAAAAAATGTGTGCTATTTAAACCACTTCACAATCTACCAAGTTCAGATTCATAAGCTTGAGACGGTGAACCATTCGAACCGGTCCCAGTTCTCCAGTCCAACCGATTTTGGACCAATTCGAACGGTTCTTGACCAGTTCTCCCACATAGCGGTTTGAAGGCTCAAACCGGATCGGAATGAAGGCCGGCCTTCAATCCGGTTCAATTTTCAGAACTATGATATTTACAAATATTCTTCCAAATTCAATTAAATTATTAATAGATCGGATTGAAGTTAGTCGGGTCGAACAAAATTTGAAATTTAATGTTTGGTTTATACAAAAAATTATGGCAATTAAATCGATGGGTTAGTAAGATGAGTTTATATATAATTTAGGAGGGTGTATTCGTTTGAGTTTTAAGATAGATTTTAAAACTTTTTGAGATTTGAAACTTTTCATGATTTTGAGATTTAAAGGGAATCTTGAAAATCCTAAGTCTGGAGTAAGGATTTAAGGTGAAATTTCACATAATGGTTAGTTTATTAAATCTTAGTAGATCTTAAAATGTCTTAGTGAATCTTCAATTAAGTTAAAAAAACTCGTGATTTGTATAGATTTATTAAAATCTTAAATTCATACGTCATAACTTTTAAAAGTATCAAATTATACAAATTGAATACACCAAAATTCTTAAAGTCACAACAAACTTTAAGAGTTCCAAATGAATACAAATGTCATTCGAAATCGAGTTTGGAATGGTCAAGTCAAATAACAATCCAAACTAGACAAGTGCGATTAGACTGCGTTTGGTAAGCAGCACAAGCTAGCTTATAGTTTATTTAATTAGCTTATAAATTTCATTCATTCAAATTAGCTTGGTTGATAAACTGAGTCTTTTTAAAAATCGTGGGATTATCACATAAGTTTTCTTAGATAACTTTTCAATTAAGTCATTTGAAATTTTAATTTCACTTTATTTATATTATATGTAGTTTTTCAGTCATCCACCATTAACTATCAATTCTAAACTCCAATTTCACTTATAAGTTATCAACTAGTTTTCCAGCTAAGTTTATCAAACATAGCCTAAATATAGAAATATTTTATTTTTATGAGGTCAGTATTTATCTCATTCGCGTGAGAATTAAAACTTAAAACAATTTCATCTCATTTCATTTTTTTTTTCTTTACAATCTCACTAGCACAATTAAAAAATAAGAAAAATACTACATATCTTGCAACAAAAAACACTATCCATTGCTCGTTGATTGGTCGGAAAAAGTGTGTACACTATATATTTATTAGCGTATTTTTATATGCTTAATTTTGTCGCACTTATATGTCTTTCAACTTATTTATTTGTTAGATGGATTCTTGTACTTTGATATTTTTATGTTTTATTTTTAGTATTTTTGGAGCTAATTCTGGTTGCACGATGAGGTGTGGATGCTCGGAAGAAGGTCGAAGAAGAGTTTCCAGTGAGTACGGGGGTGTCCCGTACTGGACCAACAGGCCCCGTACTGCATGTAGCAGGCCCTTACAATTCAGTTATGGTGACGTGGGGAATTAATATTAAAAGGGCCCATATATTTTGTGTATGAAGGAAGTGGGCTATTATTATGATACTGAGATGAGGTAGAATAAAAGGCCCACTTGAGTTGATTGCCATGTTGACTAGGAATACTCAAGAGAGAGAGAGAGACGTGGCATAAGAAAAGGGGAATATATATTTTGGACTTTTTCTTGGAATAGGGATTTATTTTTACGCCCCAGCCATCATATAAAACAGAGAACAAAAGGGAGCCGCCCAAAAAAAATTATTCACGCACGCAGCCAGAGAAGAAAAAAAGACAGACGCACGGAAAAAGCAGAAAAACGAGAGGAGCTCGAAGAATTGCGGAGGGAGGCCGCACCCGCACACGAGAAGGATAACTTTATTCTTCTCTTTTGCTTTTTATTTATTATGTTAGCTTAGATTTTATTTTTAGTTCCGGTGATGTTGAACCTTACGACTTGATGATGTTTGATTGATTTTCATGGTTGATTATTGAGTTGTCTTTTTGGAATTGTTTGTGTTATTTTGAATAATTCACCATGATGTGTTAGTCTTGTTTAGATTGATCACCTAGATTAGGCTTTTCATATCTACATCTGAATTAGGCCTGCAATCCGTAATTGTTGTTGTGTTTAATTCATAAGAGGTAACCGGAAGATGGTAACTACCGGGGATAACACGGCCTAATTAAGTGAACGAACGCGGTTGAGTTCACTAATTAGTCTAGCCTATTTTTCTAATTCGTAAAATGGCTAATTGTATTAAATCTTGAAAAGGATTGTGCAAGAAGTCAGGTTTAATCGTCGAGCGTCTCGTGGTTAAATTAAAAATAAGAAAAAATTCGGGTAACTGACCGTGTCGTTGCCTAGGGCTAGTAATTTCATGAGATAGCGAGATTTGATACTAAAATTGATTAGACGAGTCAGTCGAGGGTGTAGACGGAACCGTGAACTAGAAAGTTCTCTTAATTTATTTATTTTAATTTTAATTTTATTTGTTTAGATCTTATTTATTTTAGTTAGTTTAGCTATTAAATCACAATCCCCCCTCTTTTATTGCTTTCATAATTTCAATTAATACGAGAAAATTCACAATTTGATTCACACTCCTCGTGGGATCGACCCTTGCTCGCCACTACTACTAGTTAGTAGAGGTTAGTCGAGGAAAATATAAATTTTAATTTTGCCGCGTTGCGACGCGCGATCACTCGTAAAATTTTAACTGCCAAATATTATTAATTAATATTTTATTACTTTTATGTAGCATAAACTTTAATCATTATATTTTTATCTTATAATTATTCACAATTATCGTATTTTTAGAAAAATAACTTTTTTTCACTTCGCCATTTCATATTTTTGGGGGCGAGACAAATTTTAACGGGCAACTTTCTCAAAAATTCCTAACTCACTTTTCAACTTCCTCTCAGTCCCCACTCTAATTTTTTTTTTACGCCACACTTTCTACCCCTTAATTTTCTTCCTCCCAACGTCCTATTGTTGTGTCTGTAAAAATAAAATCTCTCTTCTCTGGCGAAAAAAAATCCCCAATCTCTTGCCCTAGTCGATCGTCAACCCCGTGTGCGTCTCTCCTTCGGCGGCCCTAGATTTGTCTAATTCCGGTGAGCATCTAGCTCTTCCTGGGCCCGGCGGCGCGGCTATGGCGTTTTTCCGTTCACCTCCTCGCGTGGTCTCGATCTTGCAGCGATTGCCATGGCAGGCGAGGAACGGCGGACGACGTTAGCGGCTGTTGTCGGCGGACGTCGCGGGCGTCCTTGAGGCGGTCGATGGTGGTGCTCTAGCCTTGGTTCCCCCCTTGCCCGGCTTTCACTGGTGTTTGGAAGTTAGGGCCCTCCGGCAGCGGCTGTGCAGTGGTGCGGTGGCTCCGGCGTACGCGTGGGGGGGAGGGGGGGCTGTGGAGTGGTCCGGCCTGGGTCGGGTCTGTGGAGTACTGGGAGGAGCTGTCGAGTTTTGTGGTCCGAATCTAGTTAACCCATTAGGGGAGTTTCTGGGTCTGTTGTGTTTGGGCCGTGGCTCTCGTGGGGTGTTTGCCCGGGGTGTGGTGGTTCTCGGCTTTCCCGTCCGGTGGGGAGGGCTGTTTATGATGACACATTAGTTAACAACGCTCATCAGCATCCACACAATAGTAGTTGCACATTGGTAAACAACATGTCTGACACATGCTGAAACATAGCTTTAGTGCGTAGTATCATTTTTCGAGACAGGATTTGATAACGACTATGTAGTTAGTTAGCTGATAACAAATTGAGGATCTCTGTGCATATTTATGGGCCTGTGTTTTAGCATTGTGCACTACTACTTGCCATCCAAGACTCAATATGGTTTCTGTTTGTGCCTAACCATTAACATCAGAACTGATGCTGCAAAGTCTCTTCACTTAAAATTAACTTATTGGTCTTTGCCATGATAAATTTTTCTTTCCCAACCTGTATTAATGATTTTTCCTTGCTTTCTTGAATTGAATTTCGATGTGCATTTCTTATATATTTGCTATATAGTCTGTACAATTATTTCTTATATATTTGCTATATAGTCTGTACAATTATTTAAGATGAGACAGCAAAAATGTTTCTCAAATAGAGGAGTGTCTTGTCAACTTTTCCCATAATTACAATTTTAGTTCTGGTTTCACTACCTTAACTTTTTCGTCCTCTTCGAACTGCGTTTTTTATTTTCGTCCCGTATGTTTGCAAAATGGTCACACAAAGGTCCTTTTCATGCATAAGGGACGAAATTGGAACTTTTTTTGGGAAAAAATAAAGGACATTTTTGTTGCGAAAAAGGACCTTTTTGTAATCTTTTTACAAACATACGGGACGAAAATAAAAAACGCAATTTGAAGGGGACGAAAAAGTTAAAGTAGTGAAACATACAAGACAAAAAATGCATTTTACTCTAAAATTCAATCTCTCTCTTTTTTTTTTCACTTAATTCTTACAATTTACCCTGCCCAAGATTGAACCTTTTATGTTTACTCTAAAATTCACTTATATCTTACAATTTACCCTGCCCAAGATTGAACCTTTTATGTTTATGGTTGAGGACGCAAAATATATTTTGAAGCCAAGACTGTACAAAGGATGATGCTTTTGGTCCTCCCAGAGATAAAATGGAGAATGAACCCAGTGACCCCACTTTCCTTTCTTGATCATGTAATCTGACGGCTGGGATTGAAAACCCGTGTTCATTGGGAATTTATGAGGAGCCGTGAGGATTTGCTTCTATCAGTTGTTCAAGGTGATGAATGTTGCCACTTTGTGATAAAACAAAGTATTAATTTTTATGTTCTACTTGTATAAATCAGTTGATGGGTAGAAAATATTGATAGTGTTTCTAATTTTATTTGTCAAGATCCATGATTTGTTTGCTGTCTCCCCTCAGTTTTGGCTACTGCCACGATGCTTCAGGTTATCCATCAATTTGAGCCTTGCAGGGCCTTTGTGTAAGAAAGACAGCTTCTTGGTGCTCAAAATCAGCAAGGTAGTTTTTTTTTGTTCAAAAAAAAAAGAGAAGTATGGGTTGCTTTGGATGTGTTTTCATGTGGGCTTATTATTGTTTTTGTGTCTTTTCATTTAGTTTTAAATTTCATTTTCAAAATGCATCATTTTCCTTTAGTGGAACACAAAATATAGTAATAGGAGGAATTGGATGAATGCTATGAGCTTATCTCCAACAAAAATCTGAAATCATAGATTTAGGGATTCTATTTTGAACTTTGATTGGGATGATGATGGGTCAAATGACTCATGGGTCGGCAGTGGTCGGATTCTTGGAGTTAATTACCAAAAAAAAAGTATCAGAAAAAGCACATCTAATACAAACTTCAGAAGGAGTATGTGATAGCTTGAGGTGCGTTTGTAGCTAATAAAGATGGCTTGGCTTCACTTATTGCAGGTTGACAAAGTATCTATCCTTGACCATATAGAGTACCTAAAAGAGCTTAAGAGAAAAGTGGAAGAGTTAGAATCTTACAAAGGAGTAATGGAGCTAGAAACAACAAGGACACAAAGCAAACCTCATGGCCCCATCTAGAGGACGACTGCCTCATATTGTTTCGTACAAGTGATTTTATTTCATGAGCACACCTGTTTGATTAAGTGGGAAGAAACAAATTTAGAGGATCAATTTTTTCTTGCACAGTTGTGTATGAAAAGGATTCAGATTTTATTGGTTTAAGGCAATGAGCAGAGCATTCCTTTTGTGGTTGCAAAAGACTTGCAGGTCCTATTTATTTATAATTAGTAATGATATGGAGCCAACTGTTGGCTCCTTAGCGTTATTGTTATTTATAATACCCAGTTTGACAGGCCATCTGCTCTATAAGGATAAGTCCACCCAGGTGAAACGTGTCCCTTCTAATCAGGGTCTCTATTAATAAAGGCATTTTATACATCCATCTGAAAATGGTTTCCTTTGTGCTCATATTGATGCTATATTATTGAATTGTTTTTTTTTAAATATTCTTTTCCTTTTATGTGATGCTCAATTTATAAGAGTGTCTATAACAAATAAAAATGTGTTTTATATTTTTGAAGGCTCTTTCATATCTGTACATGCACTTTTTTTTTTTTTCTTTTATATCATTTTTGTTCTTTTGGACATTTGGTTCCATTTATTTTTGTTGGACTAAATAAAACTATTTTCCCTTTTATATTGGGTGGTGCGACACTATTTTCAAATATTATTCTTTTTTATTTTATAGAAGAATATTTATATTTTTTAGAGGATTCGGGTACAATCTTTTAGTTGGCAATATGAGGTGGCTGTAAGAACTATGTATGTACAAATGACTCATATAAGATGTTAAAAGGTTGGGCCAATGGGCAGTGCATCCAGGTTTTACAGCAAATTGTTTGTTGAGGTGAAAAATAAAATATAAATACGTAGCAAACCAATTTTCTCACACCCTTCACCTTTTTCAGATGGATGAAATAGTGAATAGTTCACAAATTCAAATACAATAAAACTTTTTCTTGGTTGCTCACCATTTGTTTTATATTCTGATTTATGTTTGCATATTCCATTTCCGTAGGGGAGCTTCTACATATTGGATTATCAAAGAATTGTGGTGACAAGTGTCCATTTTTGTGCTCTTTATGTCTCTGACATCGATCGGAAATTAAGTTAACTTTGTATAATTTTGCTGGATAGTTACTTTTGATGGTTAGCATGAGCTAGATGAATGTGTAGAGCTGCTTGTAAGAATGTGCTCATTTTGATGGAACTCGGGAACAGGTCACTGATGGGCAGCTAGCTATGTTATTTTCATTGTGGGCAGGTGATTTTTTTTTTTGCTGTTTCAGTTTTCTGTGATTGATTTTTGTTGCTAATCTCTTATAATATCTTTGCCTTTTAACGGGAAAGGTTGTGGACTGATCAGGGTAATCTATAAAGATGCCTACATTTTTGTCCAGTTTCACATGTATGTTTATCAAATAAATAAATATTCCTCAAGTATAATTGTTTTGCAGAGTCTACTCGTGTTGCATTAAGTCTGTTTGGTACGAGTAGTGGATATTATCCTGTCAAGGTGTCACCTTCCAAAACGACAATCGCACCTGTTAATTTGTCACTCTTACATTTGCACGTTCTTGGAATATTGTTTTGACTCCTTCACATTCTTGAAATTATTAATTTCAGACACTGTTTGAATGAGAGATGTGCTGAAGAACAGTCTATGTTACTAATACCGATAGGAAGGTATGTAAGTATACGGCTCAATCCATGTGACAGAAAGAAGAAAGAAATCTAGACTCTGAAAATGTGATTTCCATTTTTTTTATTTTATGTTTCAGGTTTCTCAAAGAGGCTCCATTTCGAAAGTCTTTGTGGGGAGGTTTGTGGTTCTGTAATTAAAATTTCTTTATGGCCTCGTGTTTTGTCCAACTGATGCTGAGTTAGTGTTTCCATATATCGTTCTTCATTAAGGTATATCGCTTGAGGCTGTTAGGAGATAATCACCATTGTTCACGAATCGCATTTGTGGATTGTGGCGGTAGCAACTCTGATCTTCTTCAGTAATTTTTTAGCTTCTACGTCAATAAATAGTATTCACAATCTTATATCCTTTTGTCATTTATTGTCTTACCTTTTGCAATTCTTTGACATGATGCACAAACAAAATGAAGCTTTCTTAATTTTTTGTTGTATCAATATAGTAGTTTCTCATGAAGTTCTGTTTGCACTTACTTTAAAGTTGCTATTATTTCGGTTAATTGACCTGAACAATGTACTCTCACTTAATTTTTTGATATCATTTTGCTATAAGTAAAAAACAAAAATGTTTACATGCTGCTTTTAGGACAGTAAATTTTACAAACCATCATTTGTATGGAAGTTTTAAAGGCCAACTGAAATATAGTAGGTTTAAAGGCCATCTTAATTTTTTGTTGTATCAATATAGTTAGTTTCTTATGAAGTTCTGTTTGCACTTAGTTTAAAAAGTTGCTATTATTTCGGTTAATTGACCTGAACAATGTACTCACTTAATTTTTTGATATCATTTGGCTATAAGTAAAAAAAAAAATTGTTTACATGCTGCTTTTAGGACTGTAAATTTCACAAACCATCATTTGTATGGAAGTTTTAAAAGCCATCTGAAATAGGTGATCATCTTTGTGGATAGCTTGTATTTTGTATGTACTGCACTCCGGAATGTGAATTATGTTATGTTTTTGGAGACAAATTTACAGTAGATAGTACTTCAGTTATGATGAAGCCCATCACCAAAGTAATTAGCCTTTGGAAAGTATTATTTCTTTATGCATGATAATAACACTTCTAAAATATCTATATCTATACTAATAGTTATACTTGAAAAACCAAAACTCAAATAATGAAATAAAAATAACACTTATCTCATAAAACCAATCTGAATAATACGTGGGCTGCCCCTAGTATAATATATTATATATAATGTTTTAAATATCATACTGTATCGGCCGGTATTACCAAATACCGGTGATTCGACCGTACGGTTACCCAAAATACCAGTTTATAGGGGTATCATATCGGAGAATATCAGTTTCACCGGCAAATACTGGCTAAAATATCAGTCAAAATACTGGTTTATGCCATTTTTTAAAAAAAAAAAATATTATATATATTTTCATTAATTTATTTATATAAACTGAAAGTTGTACACTTAATTTTAATATGTTACATTGTTATTAGATGTTAATTAATTTTAATATTAAGTAAAGTTAGTTTTGTACATTATTTATATTATAATAATAAATTAATTTAATATTTATTGAAACCGGTAAAATAGACGGTAAAATCGGTTGAATCGCGTACCGTTGACTCGTCTAGTATGATTACTTTTAGTGTCCCGTCATCAGCCGGTCTCGCTGGTACTAGTTTGCCAAACTTCGCTACGTGCTTCTCGAAAATCCAAGGCACGACTTTAGGAACCATATCTCGGGAACCTCAAAAGGAGATGATCTATTCTCTTAGCATCATCGCCCTAGCTATGGCGATACTCCTGGACTTAGAGAGGCCTACTCCTCGGCTCTCTAACTAGCGTATCTTTCGTCATAAGGTGGCCGTAGGCACTATCTCACGGGTCAACTCGGATTAACGTGAGACTCATCTAAATTTTCCACGCGTTCGAGCTTGAGCACAACTCCTAAAACTCGAGACATGGAGAAATCGCTAAACATTTCTCGAGAATTTTGGCGGCAAAGCCCAAACTGTTAAGCTTGGCTTACCGTCTCGACTATATGTTGAAAATGGCTGGGGTAACTAACTGTTGCTCCCCTGCGGCTGTGACCCTCGAGGTCACCTTGCCGTCATACTGGTCTGAAGGTCTTTCTGTGGCTGGCATGTACGCGAGTTTTGTCGGTTCAGGGTTGCCTTAATCCGAGAGAGGATGAAGGTGGCCCAAGATCGACAGAAGTTCCATGCTAACAAGCCTAGGAGGGACCTCCAGTTCGAGAGAGGAGATAAGGCTTTCCTGAAGGTCACGCCGTTGAGTGGCGTGGTTTGCTTCGGGAAGAGGGGGAAGCTGCAGCCCCGATTCCTAGGCCCATTCGAGATACTCGAGCGAGTGGGTGAGGTAGCATATCGGTTGGCGTTGCCTCCCGAGCTCTCGGGTGGGCACAACGTCTTCCACGTGTCGATGCTGAGGAATTACGTGCATGACCCGGAGCACGTGTTGAGTTACAGCGAGCTCGAGGTCGGGCCGAGCCTGACTTATGAGGAGCAGCCGATAACGATACTGGACGGAAGGGTTCAGCGACTGAGGAGTAGAGAGTCTAGAGACGTATCACTCGTCCGAGTTCGCTGGAGCCGCCACGGCGAGGCCGAGGCCACTTCAGAGCGAGAGGAGGAGATCCAAGCTCGTTACCCAGAGTTTCAGTTTTGATTAGTATTTTGTATTTTTTTCGATTCCTAGTTTATAGTCGAGTCGGATTTATATATAGTTTTGGCATTTCCGAGGACGAAAGTAATTTAAGGAGAATAGATTGTAACGCCCCGAATATATCATTTACTATTTATGGAGCTCGATTTTATTTCCATAAATAGTCAGTTTTCTTATTTGATGCATTTAATTATTTTTATTTGCATTAACTTGATTAATTAGTATTAAGTATAAGCCATGGAGAATTTTTTCAATTTTTAATTATTAAAATCGAATTTATGTAGCCCAAGTAACAGTTTTATTTTTAAAGATAAAACCGAGCCTTGGAAATAATCGGACATTTCATTAAGTTGGGCCGAAGCCCAATAATCGAGCGAGTCCATATTTATCTGGTCCACTATAGTAAATCGAGCTCATGTTCGATTTTAATTAAAAATCGAGCCTATGTCGATTTTTAAATCCGAAGCCAATATTACATTACTCGACGGACTAATTAATTTAGTCCAAGACTCGGTTAATTTTTAATTGGACCGAACGTCTAATATTTAGTCAAGTCAAGCTCAATTTTTACAAGCCCAATGTTAAAGCCCAATTTTGAGCCCAATAAGTGAAACCCTAACACATTTTCCCTATAAATACTACATCATCCACCTCCCTCATTCCATTACCACAAACCAATGTTTTTAAAAGCGTTTTTTCGCCGCGACATAGCAGAAAAATAAAAAAAGAAAAAATAAAAGTAAAATCAGCAGCGAGGGAACAAACCCTCGTTAGTCGTTTCACTTCTCTAATTCTCTTCGTCATCTCCCTCAGCGCCTCAGAGCCTCTCCACCCAGCCTCCATTGCAACCTTCACGGCCCACCACATCCCGGCGAGAGTAGGAACTTCGCCGCCTCCGCAGCTCCACCTCAGCCACAATTCTCAGAACATCCTCCCGTTGCCTCTCGCCCGGCTCTCGGCACCCCCAAAGTGTCTGCTCCTCGACTCTCTCTACCCGACATCTCCTGCTCCTTGGTCGACTCGAAAGGTAACATTTTTTTTTTTTATTTTAAGATTATGAAATTGAATTTGAAATTGAAATTGGGCCTCTTCTTCATTCACTTGATTATTTTGATTTTTGTTTAATTGGACTGATTATTTATTAAATTAAGAGTTAGATATAGATGATTGTTTGAGCTTGCTGTTTTGAGGAATCTGATGGGATTTTAAAAGTTTCTTGTTGATGGGGAGTGTTGCTACATTGTATTGAGTGTCTATGGTCCTGGACTGAGAACACTAGACTGTACTTGTTAATCCTTGCCGTTGAATCAGTTGAGGTTGGTGTTGTTGTTTACAATTTTTCGTATATAAGAGAAAGGCTGCACATGAATTTTTCTATGTATCAGTTTGGTGTCTGATGGGAGTCTTGTTTACTTGTCAATTTTTCCTGTTCAAATAGTTGAATGAAAAAGTTGTAAATGAAAAACACTTGATTGGGTCACAACCCACAATCATAATTTCGTGTGTAGTTTTTATTGAATGGTTCAAATAATATGTAGCCTATGTTTTTTGGATTGAAGTTGTACCGTGCTCTCTGTGACCATGTTGCATTAGATAAAAAAAAAAGAAAAAAAAGGAGATTGACATATGCTTTTCTTCCCAATCTAGTGACCTAATTTGTCACACTCCGATTTGAATGTTATTGTTTAGATTTAATGTCCAAGTTTATGGTTTAAAACCATTACAATTATTTATTTACTTGTATGATTATATATATTACTATTTTTGGCATTATAAGTGAACTGCTCGAATAGCTTACGCAATGCGCTACGCTATTTACGCTACGCATTATAAAGAACAAAACGCGACGCGATGCGCGTTTTAAAACACTACCACAAACACAAACCCTAGCCCCATTCCACCATCTTCAAGATCCATCACCTTCCACCTTCACCCACCATAAAATCCGGCCATATTCCGGCGGCCGACCTCCGACGAGCCTCACACCGGCGAGTTCTTCCCGTTTCCGGCAAAACCCGCGCCTCCCGAACACAGCCCCGCCGGCAAATCGCGAGCCCAGCCCGTCGACGCGCCTCACGAGCTCAGCCCGCCGTCCTCGAGCTTGCGACGACCGGTTTCAGCCCCTCAAGCCCGTTCACGCGCCGTTCAACCTGAGTCCAGCTCCGTCCATCCCGTCAGGCCCGAGTCGCCGCAGCCAGATCCGGTTCTAGCCCGTTCGCGCGCCGTCTAGCTCACGTCTGCCGTCATCTAGCCTAAACCGCGAGAATCTCCTGTCCACAAGCGAGTCCACGCGCCGACGAGCCCGGTTCCGGCCCTTCTCGACCCAGTCCGCGATGAGCACTCCCAAAGCCGACCCGGTCAGCTACAACCGAGACCCTCTCAGCCCGATTCCGACAGCCCCTCCCGCTCCATAGCCGATCCGGTTTTCACTACTGTAGGATCGTAGATTACTAGCTGCTGAGGTATTTAAAACACTGATTATAAATATAAAAAAAATTGTAGATAGGGTTACATTCACACATATATATGCTCACAAGTACGCCTCTACCTCATCAAAGTATTTCCCCCTGCCGCACTGAATCTTGATTTTGAACTTTTTTCAGATTTAAGATTTTTATTAAATTTCTCCCCCTCCTTTTGTCTCTTTTTTAGATTTTAGATCTAATTCTTCTCCTTAGCATCTTCTGTTTTGAAACATGAAATTAATTTTTTGGATGAAGAAGTTTGAATCAACCATGATTCGCTTAGGCGCGTAACCGCTTACGGGATTCTGCAGGGAACTCCTCGCATAGTCGGTACCAAGTGTGATCATCTCCCTAATTCCAAATTAAAATTATTTTGATTTGATGTATCTAAATTTTAATTATTCTAATGGATTATCTTCTCTTGATCCATTCTTCCTTTATATTTCTCAATTCTCTCACAATTCTGCTTAATATTATTCTCTCACAATTTACTAGATGGGTCGGGCTGGGTATCCAGCCCAAACGTCCCAAACCTATTAAACCCATCTATTTTAACAGGCCCAAAAAACGATCCTCCTCTTAAAAGGCCCAAACCTCGAAAGAACCATCATTTCCTCAAATGTCGATCCTCCTCTTAAAAGGCCCAAACCTCCAAAGAACCCTCATTTCTCTAAACGTTTTCCTCTCGAAAGAACCCTAACAATGGCGAACCTCAACCCGTCTGCGGTTCACTTCCATATGTACCACCCCCAACTGGACGTCGAACTCTCCAGCGTGTGGCCAGTCAATTTCGCAGGACAAGGACAACGTTTTATCGTACACTTTTCAACCCCCAGGTAAATATTTATGTTTTATTTTTGTGTCAGGTTATAATAGATTAGGTCCTATAGATGCAAAGATGAGGAAGTTAAAGCTGAGTTCCAGTAGATCTCGTTTTCTTCAGTTTTTGCAGCTGCTGATTAGGATTTTGCTTGATTTTGGCTTTTCTGTTTTGTTTTGGTTTGCAGCAGAATCTTAGTGGGTTTGGTGGTTAGTTTTGTATATAGTTTTGGCTTTGGGTTGATTATTTGGGCCTTCGTGTTTGGGTTTTGTTTAGGTTAAGTTTTAGTTGATGTATTGTTGTTTTGAGAGTTAGTCTTAGTTGCCTTGGTACTACTAGGATGAGAAATTTAAGGTTGGGGTTTGACCCTTTTCATGTTGTGTCTCGGTTGTTTGAATAATTTATCATTTGATAAAAAAAAAAGCTGAGTTCTCTTCTTGCTACTATACATGTCCTCATACTCGGGATTTCCGAGCTTGTTCTAGAATACTTGGGGACCTTCGACACTAGGAAGGACGATGTTAACCCTGGCTATCCAGACCGAGTGGACTTCCTAGTGCACAGTGCCGCTGGACGTTCCCTTGATCGTCCAGACGCACTCTCACTTTATCCAAGCAGAAAGTGTCATTGAGGGCCTCGTAGACCTTAACTGAGGAGGCGAGATCAGTTGACAACCAGTGCCACGGATATTGTTGTCTGGGAACAAACGGAAGTTCAATGGATTTCAGAAAAAAAAAAAAATTAGGTTAGCCTACCATTGATAGTTCTTGCGATTAAATGAAAGGTATTCTAGTAATGTTGTAACGAACATCCTACTTGAACCGTCACTCGCGTAATGAGGCTGAGGTATTCGACAAACCCATAACCCTTATTGTAAGTGTGTTTAAAGTAACCATACATGTGTAATTTTACATCACGAACCCTTATTGTAAGTGTGTTTAAAGTAACCATACATGTGTAATTTTACATCACGAAGTGAAGCGTAGATTCTTGGTGGTTGGTACTTGTACTTCAGATTTGGATAGCAACAGTGAAGGTACTCGAGTAAAGTAAGGTAGGTGAGATATTCATCATGTGGTTACTTTAAACACATGATGAGTATCCCACCTACCTTACTCGGGTATCTTCGCTGTCGTATCCAAATCTGAAGTACAAGTACCAACCACCAGGAATCTACGCTTCACTTCGTGATGTGGAATTCCACATGTATGGTTACTTTAAACACTTTTACAATAGGGGTTATGGGTTTTTCGAATACCTCAGCCTCATTGCGCATGCGACGCTCCCACTTCGTTACGGTAGTACTAGAATACCTTTCATTTAATCCCAAGAACTATCAATAGCATGCTACCCTAATTTTTTTTTGAAAGCCCTTGGACTTCCGTTTGTTCCCGGACAGCAATATCAATATCCGTGGCACTTACTAGTTGTCAACGGCCCTCAGAACTTGAATCTCGCCTCTTCAGTTAAGGTCTACGAGGCCCTCAATAGCACTTTCTGCTTGGATGAAGTGAGGGTGCGTCTGGACGATCAAGAGAACGTCCAACGGTATTGTGCACTAGGAAGTCCCCTCGGTCTGGGCTGCCAGGGGTAACATCGCCCTTCCTAGTGTCGAAGGTCCCCAAGTATTCTAGAACAAGCTCGGAAATCCCGGGTATGACGACATGTATAGTAGCAAGAAGAGAACTCAATATTTTTTTTTTTATCAAACGATGAATTATTCAAAAAACTGAGACACAACATGAAAAGGGTCAAGCCCCAACCTTGGATTTCCCATCCCAGTAGTACCAAGGCAACTAAGAAGACTAACTCCCAAAACAACAATACATCAACTAAAACTTAACCCAAACACCAAGGCCCAAATAATCAAACCAAAACTATATACAAAACTAACCACCAAACCCACTAAGATTCTGCTGCAAACCAAAACAGAAAAGTCAAAATCAAGCAAAATCCTAATCAGCAGCTGCAAAAAGTGAAGAAAACGAGATCTACTGGAACTCAGCTTTAACTACTTCATCTTTGCATCCATAGGACCTAATCTATTATAACCTGACACATAAATATTTACATGGGGGTTGAAAGGTGTACGATAAAATATTGTCCTTGTCCTGCGAAATTGACGGGCCACTTTGGAGAGCTCGACGTCCAGCTGGGGGTGGTACATATGGAAGTGGATGTTGGTTCACACGAAACGCGAACGGGTTGAGGTTCGCCATTGTTAGGGTTTTTTTGAAAGCTATTGGACTTCTGTTTGTTCCCGGACAGCGATATCCGTGGCACTTACTATAGCATTACTCATTTTATATTATCACTAGCATTAGAAGTATTTCAAAAGTAGGTAAAAAGCTAGAAAATGAGGGGTTCACTACAAGCGGACAACTGCGTTTAGAATTTATTTTAGCATTCCGATACAACTTTTGAATCTTTCTTTCTTTACTCTTTTGTAATTAATAATATATTGCAATATATTCCTTGTTGGAGTTTGTATAAAATATAAAACCTAAGGTCCTAAAGACAAAAGCTAATGAGATAAACTTAGAAAAAAAAGCTTCATAGATTTTATTATATAATGGTACAATACGCAATTGGCGTAAAAACTCCTATTTTTTCAATAACTGAGACACTTTCAATTTGAGTGATGGAGATAAGGATGGTTAGAATTTTTAATTTAAAGACAAAGATTTTCACCCCCAAACAGCAAGCAAATTTATAAACTCATGAGCAATAACAGAAGAGTTCGAGTGATCAACTGATCACACTTCAAAGCTTAACCCACAAGACAAGTAAGATGAAAGATTGAAACATTGATTCCTCTAAATCAGAACAAAACTGGAAAAAAAAAAAAACGATAACAAAATAAACATCACTTTTATCCAACACAAAGATACAATTGGGGATCAACCTTGTAAACAAAATCTTTTTGCTATTCAGTAAGCAAAAGTCTATATCTATATGCTTCCAGAAATGGTAGCTCCATATGCTTATAAAAGATGAATCCACACATTATCGTAATCACTATTACAAAACAAAACCTCAGGCAAAGAAATCACAAAACAGAAAGTGATACCATATGCCCACAAAACCAAAGAAAGGGTGACAAATCAACTTAATATTCCAGAGGGAAATTATAAAAAACTACCTTAATGTACCTATAAATCGGGTCGAGTAAGAATGTTGTAAATTCTCCGTAGAGGCAACTGAATATTAGCGAGGTGCGGGAATAAATCTCCATAAAAAAGAAGGTCCATCGAAGGTCCATTGTGCATTGGACGTTTCCTTGACCGTCCAGACGCACTCTCACTTCATCCAAGCAGAAAGTGCCATTGAGGGTCTCGTATACCTTAACTGAAGACGCGAGATTCAACGGCCATCAGAACTTGAATCTCGCCTCTTCAGTTAAGGTATACGAGGCCCTCAATGGCACTTTCTGCTTGGATGAAGTGAGAGTGCGTCTGGACGGTCAAGGAAACATCCAATGCACCATGGGCCTTCTTTTTTATGGAGATTTATTCCCGCACCCCGCTAATATTCAGTTGCCTCTGGAGGATTTACAACATTCTCACTCGACCCGATTTATAGGTACATTAAGGTAGTTTTTTATAATTTCCCTCTGGAATATTAAGTTGATTTGTCACCTTTTCTTTGGTTTTATGGGCATATGGTAGCACTTTCTGTTTTGTGATTTCTTTGCCTGAGGTTTGGTTTTGTAATAGTGATTACGATAATGTGTGGATTCATCTTGTATAAGCATATGGAGCTACCATTTCTGGAAGCATATAGATATAGACTTTTGCTTACTGAATAGCAAAAAGATTTTGTTTACTGAATAGCAAGGCTGATCCCCAGTTGTATCTTTGTGTTGAATAGAAGTGATGTTTAGTTTGTTATNTATTTTGTTATCGTTTTTTTTTTTTTCCAGTTTTGTTCTGATTTAGAGGAATCAATGTTTCAATCTCTCATCTTACTTGTCTTTGTGGGTTAAGCTTTGAAGTGTGATAAGCTGATCACTCGAACTCTTCTGTTATTGTTCATGAGTTTATAAATTTGCTTGCTGTTTGGGGAGAAAATCTTTGTCTTTAAATTAAAAATTCTAACCATCCTTATCTCCATCACTCAAATTGAAAGTGTCTCAGTTATTGAAAAAATAGGACTTTTTGTACAATTGCGTATTGTACCATCAAATAATAAAATCTATGAAGCTTTTTTTTTTCTAAGTTTATCCATTAGCTTTTGTCTTTAGGACCTTAGGTTTTATATTTATACAAACTCCAACAAGGAATATATTGCAATATATTATTAATGAAAAAATTGTTATCCGTACAAATTTTAATTACAATAGATTAAAGAAAGAAAGATTCAAAAGTTGTATCGGAATGCTAAAATAAATTCTAAACGCAGTTGTCCGCTTGTAGTGAACCCCTCATTTTCATTTTCTGGCTTTTTACCTACTTTTGAAATACTTCTAATGCTAGTGATAATATAATATAAAATGAGTAATGCTATAGAGTCAACTTGAATGACAACTCAAGTGTAATTGCATTATTTTTCAACTTTTTGATAATATATTTACACTGAGGTTGTAACCCAAGTTGTCATCTAAGTAGGATAAATAGCATTACTCGTATAAAATAAGAGTTGCCTATAATTGCTATTTTGCTACATTACAACAAGTCCCTGCTTGCCTCCCGATGCAAAGAATCTTTTGCCGCCTCACGGTTTGTTCCCGCCAAATAGTTTGATCCCTGATTGCCTGATTGGTTCTACTTCAGTAAGTACTCAAGACAAAAAACAGTATGAATATTTTTAGCTCAATAAAAATATATTAATTTTTGTAATTCAGAAGTTTAAAAAAAAAGTACCACTATTTTTAGCTAAACATATTAATTTTTATAATTCATACATTTTTAGTCATCTTGCCTAGTTTAACTCTTGCTTCAACCAAGGAAATATGAATTCCTCCCAAATTTCTTTGGATTTCGAATGATAATAACCCGTAATCACCACACATAGTTAATCAGGTAATGTCGAACAACACTTACGTAAGATACAACTGTTGTAGTCTGCTTTGCGTACATAATTCACCTCAAGAAAGCTTGGCCCATTTCTCATAAACAAAATCGTCTGTCGCCCGATAATTCGAAACTCTTGATTGCTAAACGAAAAGAGCTTAAAAATCATGTATCACGTGCATCACACGTGCAATTTACTTATATTTAAAATGTAATGATTAAAATTGATGTGATGTAAAAAGTAAGAGGATGTGTTGAGTAATTAAAAATACGCAACTAGATGAAGAGCGATTTAAAGTTAATTTGATGTGAAAATAATTGATTAATATTATTTAATTATATTGATAATATTAAGAAGAGTTAAGTTGAATAAAGTTATGTCGGATTTTGAGTTAAAATGTTAAAAAAAAAAATATCCAGTAAAACTGGATAATTTTTGTAGTCAGTCATTTGCATATACTCTAACCACATATGAGAAATCATGAAACCGGATAATTTTTGTAGTCAGTCATTTGCATATACTCTAACCACATATGAGATATCATGAAAAGGATGAGTAGCTAAATGCATCACGTCCATATCTTTTTCTCAGTTATTATAACAACTGATGAACAACACTACTACTGACATGCCTAGTCTTTACCTTGAATTTTAACACACCATACCGCATAAACATATCCAAATTGGCCTTAAACTTTTCATAACAAGAACAAAAGGTACAAATTATGTGCATATTTGTAAACCAACCAGCAATCAACTGCACCAAGGGAAAAGGTTAAAAAGGGGGAAAAAAGAAAGAGCCAAATAATCAGTAGGCAAAATAAAATTACCAGCAAACACATCGACAAAAAACTTTCAGAAAATATCATATAGTTAGGTCGAAAAAAAAATTGCAGCATAAATTTGAGCTCTTGTATTATTGACGTGACGGTGCTAAGCATCCCAAAGGTGGAGGTTGTATTTATTATGGCGACTGCCATCTCTATTATTCATTGAAAAGAAAGTTGCAGCAATCGTTAATTGTACATTGTTGACAATGAATATGAATAGTAGAGCTTAAGGTTGCAAATGACTCAAATCGTCTTAAGGTATTATTACCAGCAAACACTACTACTGACGCATGATTGGAGAACACAATTATAAAAACGAATAATATGATAAATACATATGTTTGGTAGACAAATAAGCTAGCTTATAGCTTATTTAGTTAGCTTATAAGCTCCCTGTATTCAAATAAGCCTTGTTTGGTAGGACGAACTTTTTTAAAAAGTTCGAGTTTATTTGATAAGCTTCTTTATATAGCTTTTCAAATAAGCTAGTTAAATTTTTTATTACAGCTAGCTTATCAATTAATTTTACCAAATGTTTTTATCATATAACTTCTTAGCTATCATAAACTATAAGCTCGAAAATTATTGATAAGCTATAAGCTAATTTATCAGTTATCAGCTAGTTATACAAAACATAACCAACATAACACAACATAAAACCACAAATTAATATTTTTTAATTAAATCATTTTGAACATATTTATTGTCAAATATCTACCTCTATCTTATAAGAAAACCATGTTGCCCCTTTGCTTGCAGCCACGTGGCACCTCTCAAAACTCTCCATTTTGTTCAAAACGGCGTCGTTTATGAGATGTTTTCCAACCAGCCTCTTTGCATTTTTTTTCCTAAACTACCATCACTTTATATTGCATTTTTAGGATATTTTCGTCTTTTACATGTGACAGGTTATTTCCCTACCGGCAGAATTTCCGCACACACGCAAGCTCTCTTTCCAATCTACCCACTCTCATCATTTTTCTTTTATTTCTCTCAAACTCATCCTTTTCCACAAAGAAGGAAAAATAATCGCTCAAAAATGAACCCGATCTCTTTGATTTTCCACCTTCAGCATTACAGGTTACATAATCCCTTTTATGCAGAGAACAACGGTGGATTACGATATATGCTCTACGCCGCCACGCTCGACCCAACTGGCTGGATCGGCTTAGGCAGACCACGGCCAGTCCGATATCGATAGGTTCATATCTATCTCCCTCCCCTTTCTTGATTTTTCTTAAATTCTCGCTTTCATCTATCGATTTTTTTGCCTGGTAAATTTTGTTCTTTTTTTTCCACCTCTCTTATTCTGTACTTTGTTTAATCGCAATATGTTCGAGTATAGCTTTTGTATCGATGATGGTTCACTCTGTTTCTCGTTTTTCATTCGGGCTTTTGATTTTTATATGCATTCATTTACTATATAGCTTTTATTTTCTACTGGCTCTCCTTTTCTTCTCAATTTGTTTGATTATTTTTTTGCAGGCCTGTGATTTCTCTACCTCTGTAAGTTTAACCTTTGTTCATGTGTCTATTTCGTGCACATTGTGTTGTCTTTTTTATGTAAAGGTGAATTATCACATGTGATAGTTGACTGATGTTTTTGAGAGGATTTAGGGTAAACGGGATTATTGTAATGGTTGAAAGTATTTAAGAATAAAAAGGAATTGTGCTAATTAATTATGTTGACTTTCAGTTTTCTTCCATCAGAGCAATTGAAAAGGTATGTCTCGTTACCAAACCCTCTCAGGCAGCACGTTCCGCATGAAAATGACTTCCTCGGCATTGTCCATGGCTCTCGAGAACGGGACATTGGGCAGGTTGGCTTACAGGCACCCGAAATCGAAACCCGTGACGAGCACATGTCGTGTCGAACGTGAGCCTCTGTAAATTGTTTGTCTCCGGGTAGATAAGGTAAAATTTGGAATAGCAAAGATGGGACCTTTTGAAAAGGTTCATTTCCTATTTGTACGCACACACGAGTTCTTACAAGAAAGTATTCGCGTAGCGAGCGCGTGAAAATGGCGATAGTGTACATGCTGGTGGCGCATCGCTCAGTGGTGCTGGCGGAGTTCAGCTCCATGCCCACGACGGCGAACGCTATCGCCCGAAAAATCATCGAGAAATTTCCTGGCAACGAAGATACGAACACTTCCTACTAGAATCAAATTTTATTTGCTCCTTTTGGTGGCTGAATCTTTTGAAGAGAGAATCAACATCTTAGAATTATATGCGAGTTGTGATTTGCAGTTGGAATTTTTTTTTCATTGTTATTTGTAGATGACAAACTGTGATTGATTTGGAGAACCATATAAATCCTGAGTTAAGCTCTTTGAATTTGGAAATGGATTATAGCTGGAAGAGCTGAAAAATCATGCCATTGTCGTACTTGTGATTTTATTCGTTAGTCGGATCCGAAAAGGCAAGTGTTGCGATTCGTGTTTAAATTACTGAAGAATGACGGGCTGTGTGTTTGTGTTTTGATTTTTATTGGCTGAATGTTATTCTGTTTTAAATAACGCGAGAGTATTGTTATGAGTTAACAATTCTAATTAGTGTGCATTTGCATAATCTCCCATATTTGGTGCAGAAGGAATATAGGGCGGAGGATGATGATGATGTGCCAACTATGAGTGGGAACATTGACACGTTCTTTGCAACTGTGGTTGGTGTAACATATCATGTGAATTCGTTTTTGGGTATAAATCTTTTGAGGCCGTTGCTTAGGGCTTGTGAAGCTCGTTACTGTAAACCCACTCTCAGGTTCTTAACTGTTTTCACTTTCCTTACTTTTTTCTATTCGTTTAGCAAAATTTTACTTGGTTCAGTATTTTCTAGATATGGTGCTTTGTTCCGCTATTGGTCTAAAATTTTACTTAGTTCAGTATTTTCTAAATATGGTGCTTTGTTCCGCTATTGGTAGGCTGCTTATATACCATTGACGTAAACTGGTCGTGATATTTGTGGGAGTGCTATCACTTGTTCTGGAAAGGTATTTCTAATGTGTCTTTTTTTAATTATGAGTATTGTTTCAGTCATTATTGTGTATAAATTGCATCCCTCAACATCTCATTCGAAAAGTATAGCAAGTCTCCCAAAGTAGAAGATATATATTTATTGCTAAAATTAGTTAGATAGTGTTGCCCACTTGCTTTAGATAACTCAAAGGTTGTAATGGCTATCTTTAATAGCTGGTTATTTTAGTTTTTCTATTCACAATTAAGAAATACATAATACTTGTTTTTTGATGCCCTTGTGAGAAGGATCAACTTGATGACGGTAGGACTAATAAAATATATTGTTTATAATTAACAGGTTGTTGCCTTTATTTTAACAACTTTGAAGAGGCTTTTTTTCGGCCAAAGAATAGGTTAACTATGAGGGTCTTAATCCTCACTCCAACAAGGGAGTTGGTTTTTCAGTAAGTTTTGCTTCCTATGAAGGAACAAATATATTACTTTTGTGTTCTTTTCTTAGGCGGATTTATGTTTTGATTCTTTCTCCACGACTTTGCAGTTTTTGTTCCGTTTAAAATTTTTCTCATTCTTCCGTGAGTATTGAGAATACGATAATTTCCTGGTAATCTAGAGATATTAAATGATTCATTTCATTTTAAAAACTGTACATGCAGTATATGTATATGTTTTTTGTGTTGGCATTGGAGTTGGGATGTTCTTTGAATGAATCGATTTATTTTTCATTTCTTAGACAAGATATATGCACTTGTGGTAGATTGAGACCCATTTACTAATTCTTGCAGTTTTCAGTATGGTCTTCAGTTTTTCTTTGATTTTTTTTTTTTCCGTTATTTTTTCTTGGGCTCCATATTTACCTCAGGTATATCGTTAGGTATATCGTTAGCCAGTGCCTTTAAAATAAGAAATAAGAAATAGATATAAAGAAAGATAAGTTACATTGTTAGATAAAGTCCCACTCACATAAGGTCATAGGAAGATAACAATGGTTATTATTTCTTTTTCTTCTTTTAATATCTTGATTTTTTCGTTTTTATCGTCTCTTTGTGTGAATGAAAAGTACATATCTTTCAGCTTATTTTTTTATGTCCTTGATTTTTGAAAATTCAGATTCTTTAAAGAAGCGATTGTGGTTGTGACATGACATGCAAGACTGTTTTTTTGTAGGGTTGCACTTGAGCCGTAGCGTGTACCTATCGAGTGCATCTTGGATGTCGTATGACAGGCGTTGGACTTCTTTGAGTCATTCCTAGAGGTTGTTTTTGTTTTTTATTTTCTATTGTAGTGAAATATTGGAGTTACATTGTGCCATGGGCCATGGGTGAATAAGTACTTTCATAGGTTGTTGTGTATTTATCTCAACTTCTTGGTCCAATTAACATGCACTTTCTTTGAAATTTTATAAAAAAAATTTGTATCCAATTCAATCGTTTATATTACTAGCCACTAGCGTATTGCATGTTTGCCATTTCTATCCATTTAATTATGTTGGGATCTTAAAAACACACTCGGTCTGATGCATGGATGATGGAAGTTAATATTAATTGATTTATCTAGTGAATATAGATTTCTTGAATTATTTCTCATTATAAATTTTCGTATTTCCCTACTTCTTAAGCAGGTATAAATATATTGGCTGAATAAGTAATATTTTCTCATGCCAATGTCTCTCATTCTTTATATAATGCGCTTGGTGTTCTATTGGTGTTACTTTTATCCACATAATCACTCTTAATACTGGAGATGTAAGAAGTACAAACTGCTTATTCTCGTTGTGAAGCTGAGATAATTCATCACCATGAAAAAATAACTCATGCAAAAATGGTACAATGCGAAAATTTGTGGACAATGCTGCCATTGTCGAAGAATCTATGTGCATATTTGGACTCGTAACGAATGAGCATATCACATTTAGAGTTAAAATCTAACGCGTGTTGTAATGCAACTTTAACACTAAACTATTGTATGTTAAGAAAGAAGTAACTTTTTTTTTGGGTACAAAGAAACAAGTAATTTTAAATTATGTTGTAGTTGAATTTCAGTATTGTCAAAATTTTACCTATGAATTAAGGCATTTGAAATTATGTTGCAGTTGAAGTTTAGTGTCTCCTCACATTTATATCTAGACTATGAATTAAGGCATTGTAATAAAATTGAGATTTAACTCGTGCCCATTGTCGTTACTAATGTTTTTAAAATGGCTACGACTATTATGCTTTTCATTATATTATGAAAATAAATAAAGCATGTCAACTATGCACTAAAATTAATACTCAATCATTAACACACTTTTACAACATAATGTAGAACTCGATTATAGTTTTTTTACATACTTAATTATGACAATAATTGGGCCGGCTGTGCACATAACAAACTAGTAATAAATGACAAGAAAACATAAGGATGAAACACAAACACAACTACTGATTTGCCACCATCCCCCTGAATCACATTTTGTTCAAGAAAGAAACGTAGGGAAAGCAGAAATAGGAAACTCGTACATATTTAATAATTCACGATTAAAATATGAAGTATACTAGTAAAACATATATGAAGACTCCATACTATTGGTAAAACATAAATGAAGACCATACTATTGGTAAAGCAGATTGGTAACTAACTAAAGCACTAGCAAATCAAACTATACTCCTCAATTCTCAAGGGTCTCAACATAATTTAGTAAAACATGTGAAGCTCATCATTCATCTTCGCATTGTAAGCACGTGTAGTTGCTACGTACAAACTCATCATCTCGCAAAGGGCGATATGCCCGCCTCAAGATCAGAAATCAATCGTGTTATATAACAAGTTTTACCAATCCTCATGGATGTGTATGCCTCTCAACTCTGCCACCTTGCCCGAAAATCCCAAATGCACTCTTACATACCAACACTAGTTGTTGTTACTTAAGACACAAAAACACATTTCAGTTAATTTATTTTTTCTTTTTTTTTTTCCTTTCTTTTTAGAATTGACAATTCAGACCCAACCACGTCATCTAATTCATTTCCACAGCTTGACCGAGCTATCGTGGCTGGCTGAGGCAACCATCCCAGTCACGGGTGACTGTGCCAAGGCCGCAACTATGTTCTCATGTGCTGCAACTGTCATGCTTTTGTTCTCAACCATGTTCCACAGCTCTAGGGACTGCACATTGTCAAAGTTGGAAAAAAAAAAAAAAGTAAAAAAATGTTACTTTACATGACCAGGGTTACATTTGATCGAGATACTGCTATTTTGATGAGAAAGAATATGACAGAATTATAATATCTTTGGCTCACATTCCCATTTCTACAACTACTCGTGAGTAAACAAAAAGCTTAATGGGATACATGTAGAGGAGATTTTTGTAAGGATGCCCCCTTCTTAGAAGCTCTTTTAGATATTACCCTCTTTGGTCCGAGTAACAGTCTTCTTTGTCTGGTCGAAATACATTAAAAGGAGTGCCAAAAGGGGGAATACTTGCAAATTCTCCTCAATACTTCAAAAGGGTGTTTGTAATCACTAATTTTCGAAGATGAGATTATTTGGTAAGTTGCCTAAATCCAATGGTCCTCTGGTCATCTGCTCCTTTCTTTATTTACTATCCTTTATTTTTTTTTAGCAAATTGAAAACAAGAGTGAGTTAAGCTTATTATTGAAGAGGTGTTAGAATAATACAAGGGTGAGAGATAGGATAAGTGATTACCTGTAAGCCTCCAATCACCAAAAGAGCAGAATAACTCGGATGAAAAACACAGGAATGGAATTGGTTGCCGCTGGCATTAAGCTCATGGATGCACTCTCCCGTGGCCAACGACCAAACTTTAATACTGTCCTCACTCACAGAGGCCAAAATCTCGCCACTAAGATCCCAGCACAGGTAGTTCACAACTCCGGAATGTCCCTAAAAAGCCGTAGGAACTCATTATTACATGCCATACCAACATCAAATGCATGAGCAGGGAATCAATTCCAGGATGCAAACAGGATAAGCGGTTAAATCACACACCTGGAAAGAATGTGTTTGCCGATCGTTCTCAACATCAAATATAGAGACCACCTTGTCAGATGCTGCTGCCAGTAGATGTCCATTTCTGGGTTGAAATCTCACTTGTGCACTTCCTCCTTGCTATACCATGCAATCGAGATGGTCCTTAGTTCAGAAAACGAAAATGTAGAGCAGGAAGAAAAGAAGATATATGAAATGATCGAGATCACAGATCCATGTGAGATATCCAACCTTGGAAACCCGAGTGCACGAAAATGGGCTAATGCTCCAATAATGAATTTCATTGTTACTATCACAGAAACAGAAGAGATCATCCTTCTTAGGATGGAAATCGAGGGACATCACGTGGGAAGTATGCCCTGTGTAAGCATGCAGACAATAGCTTGGCTGCATTTCCAAGTTTATACATTAAGCACCATTTACAGTAATTAAGCATTTACTGTAGACAGCGGCAAGGACGAATGTACTAGAATTTACTGCAGACAACAGCAAACAAGTCAAACGAAAATGGGGGTGGAGATGGTGCACGTTGAAGATCGTGCCGTATTGGTAGTGAACCTATATACTGATTTGCACCTTTCATAAATTTGAACGAGTATAGTTTTAATGTTCACTTTCAACTCGATGATAAAAGTGTATTATCCATCAAAATATGGTTTAAAAGCAAACCACTTGGCAAAAAAAAGTTTCGAGTGACAAAATTGTCTCAAAATTGGAAACTGTACCATTCTGAAAAGATTTTAAAGATTCAGAACCAAGTTTCTTTCAGAGCACCCTCTAAGTTAATCTCTGAGAGCTTTTCCTAAACAGTCAAAAGTGAAACTTCTGCAGATAAAAATGGATGTGAAATAATTACATTAGCTGCATCCCATAATCTAACAGACTTGTCAAATGAGGCCGTCGCAAGTTGAGACGAGTTTGGCCGGAAGCGCACATCAGTAATTAGGAACTGATGTTCTTCAGGGGTGGTCTCTGTTTGCAGAGTGTTCATGTTCCACAAAACAGCCTAACCAAATAGGGAGAAAACCAACAATAACACAACCAAAATAATAAGCGAATGTTAATGTAATAATTGCATAAGAGGAGGTTCCACTATAAATTTCTCATAAACATAAATTAGAAGAGAATCGTGAAAGTCTGGCCATTATGTTGTATAGCCACTAAAACATGACCGACACTACCTTTTTATCATGCCCAGCACTAGCTAACAGCTTCCCATCGTAAGAGAAATGACAACAAGTCACCTTATTTCTTGTCCGTATACAACCAACTTCTCCGAATGAGAAACCTGCAACTCAGACATACGTATCCAAATTCAAAATCTTTAACGTATGGGCAAGTTCTATTTTAAAGAAGATACAAAATGCATAAATAGAAAGACCACCTTTAGAAGTCTCTGTTTTATGTTCAGTAAGAGTTTGTTTCAACGAGCCATATAGATTTCCATCACCCCCATCATGCGACAAAAAAGAATCAACATTGTCGTCAAGAGAACCAACATCTCCAAAAGTCTCCAAGTCATCCTGGATAAACAGTATACTTTAGAATTTCAAGGCAACAACATTCATTCAGAATATCTAATAGAGATTCAAGCACAAGCCAATGAAAAAACGTCAAGTAACCCCCTTTAAGAACCCAATCTTACAAGCTGATTTGTAGATGATGCAATTCCACCAGGTCCTTCTGCACCATACATCATCATACTCTTGGACACATTATTAACATGCTGCATACTGCTAGCAGTGGCCATCCCATCACCAGGTGTATGTGTTGATTGTGGCGAGCCAGGGGAAGGTCCTACAGTATTTCCTGTACCTGTGCTGTTAGCAGGACCTGATGAAGAGTGTTGTTTTCTTTTCCTGTTGTTCTGTTTAGGTCAAAGAAATGCGATAATTCTTAGTGGTGAAAGCACTAGATCAATAGGAGGATGCTTTCGAGATGAGCATTTATGAAACCAACAGAAAACATTGTAGAGATTTGGCTGCACCTATGTATCTACATAAGATAGAACTCACCTGCTGCATATGTTGTTGTTGCGGCTGCTGCTGCTGTTGCTGCTGCAACTGATCCTGTTGTTGAGAGGGAGCTTGCTGGATTTGGGCCATTTTCATCTGCTCAACATTACATAAATATTGCAAGCGTCCAAAGTAAGTCAAAAAACTTCTTTGCAAATGTATCAGCAAAGATTTATCATGAAGCTGAAGCAATTAATTAAATCTACACTAGTATAATTACTGATAGCCAAGAACTTATTGTGTCACATAAAATGATAGGGGCATCTAAAAATATGATATAAATACATTTGTGTTCCTATCAATTGACAAGCTACTAATTCCAGGACATGAGAAAATCTACGAATGCCACTAAGATAATGAAAATAAGTTAAATCCAGTTACCGTGTAGATGAACGCCTACAGTGATCAATGAGATATGTTGAATTCCATCCACAGATTTCAAGTACACAAAAATATCATTGTCTAAGATTTCATTTACATTATTAACCTTTGGTGAGTTTGATTGAGAAGGCGAGCAAATGGATCCATCGTTTCTAGGTGGCTGACCATCTTTGGCATTAAAATTACCCCTCGGTAATCCTCCGAATCCATAATTAGCTGAATTTCCAAGGTTTCCTTGTGCTTGAGCTTGTGCTAGAACCTGCTGCTGCTGTGATGCCAATAGGAACTGGTTTGGGTTCTGCAGATTAGGTTTCTGTGCTTGTAAACCCAAACTTGGCCGTAATTGATCGATTCCCTGCGTAATATTGTTTACCATCTCTCAACTATTTATCCCCATAAACACTAGATACTTCCTCAAACGAAATAACAAGACCAAAGCCGAGAGAAACTCACAGTTAGCGGCCAACCTTTCAACGGTAGACCAGTTACTCCTGGACTTAACCCTGAATGACAAAATTATGATACCATGAATAACCTGACTAACCAAAGCATTACTATTCACAGATTCAGAAAGAGAAATGGTTTAAGTTTGGAACTAAAACTCCATTGATGAGCATTTTTGCAAACTAAATAATGAAGTCTGTAGCAACAGACAATAAAAGAAGCGGTCAAATTGTAGCTCCTTTTCCCAGAAGGTCCCTGTGGGTGTGTTTGTATATAAATGATCTCGACTCACACTCAATTCATACTCAAAATTTAACTCAACTTTAACCCAACCCCACTATCTTCAATATTATCAATATAATTAAAATAATATCAACCAATTATTCTTACATATCACATCAACTTTAATTCACTATTCATCCACTCACATAATTTTAACTAATCATCACTTCACATCATCTCTCTCTTACTTTTACATCAAATCAAATTTAATTATTTTATTTCAAATATTATTTTAATATAAACTCAAAATCCCACTAACAACTAACTATACCATCTTTTCCAAAATTAACTGTGGTTAACAAAAAAAACTCATTTTGAGTGGAAATATTTGTATACAAACACGCTCTAAAGAGACATGGCATCCTGCCAGTAGAATTAGGCACTATGGAATCTCCATTACATATTATGAGAGGCGCTCAATAGAAAAGTCAAGTTCTGAGCATATTAAAAATTTAGGTGCGATCATTTCTCACGCCTTTCAGCTATTCCCAACATAGGTTCATAAAAAGAAAGGAATCAGATTATGAATAATGTAACTCAATAGAAACATTAAATATTCATTTCAACCAATGTAGCCTCACTACAAGGTCGTACATGGATTCAAACATGTCAGCAGCACAAATATAGGGAGGTTTCCAATGAAACATAAGAAATGGTATCAGAGATATGGGTGTTATACCTGCACCCCCAAGGCCAGATTTTGACTGAAGAATTGCCTGCCCATATATAGATGATGGGTCCATTGGCAAAGACTTCTGAGGTCCACCCAAGTTAATTTCCTGTTTGATTTCCTATAACATGTTTTTTAAGAGGAAAAAGTTAGGCTCAACGAGAAAGTGAAAGGGGTTAAATGAAGGAGCAAGATAAACTGGTTTGAGTAAGTACAGTGGCTAGCTGAGGCCGCCCTTGCATTTGCTGCAAGGCTGCAGACATGCCCCCAGAATTTCCTTGCATCATTTGTCTGAATCAACCACAGGGAGAGAAGAGGAAACAGAATGAACTAATAATTCACTGAAATACGACCAATGAATTTAACAACTTAAGTAAGGAATATAGTAAGACCATACTAAAATCTTACCCTTGTTGATTGGAAGCCGACTTGAGAAGTGCCATTCTATTAGCATCCACCAGACCTGCAGATGTTTCTGAGTCCATGGCATTCGGATGCTTCATGTGTCCTTCATACATTTTCATGGCTAAAAAACTTGCAGATGGCTGCCCACCCATTCCTTCAGAGTTCATCGAGCTCATGGGACCCAACGGAGGATGGTTCGGATCCCTCCGCTGTAACTGGGCATTGCGCTGCTGCATGAGTTGCAACTGCTGTAATTGCATCTGCTGCTGCTCCCTTGCTTTAATTTGTTGCATCTGAGGTCAAGTAGAAACCAAGAAGAAAAGTTTGTCAACATATTCAATCCTTTATTTTCCTCAAAAGAAAAAAGAATAAATAAATATAAAAAAGAAGGAAAAAGAGCATCAGAATATGTCAATCTAACTACATAGCATGAGAACCTCTATGTACGCTGCAGCTGCCTCAGAATGCTTCTCATTCGTCCTTGCAATGAAAATGTCCCAGAAGACTGACCACCATTCAAACAGAAATCCTCCAGGTGCATCAATTGCTACAAACAAAATTCAAATTGTATGTTAATGGGCTATTATTCAGGGAACCAAATATTTTGATATGGCATAATGAAATCTACTTTTTCTGAACACCATCAGCATTAATCATTCGACTTAACCATGATGTACAATAGAAATCTTACCCACAGGATCACTAGCAACTTTTCCCTCTGTCATGAAAGCCTTCGCAGAATTATGCAATTTTCGTTTCAACAAATAGTCATGAATGTAGACATCAAGCCTAGAAAAAATAATCAAACGTACAAGTCTGCATAAGCAGTCGTCAATATGGAAAAGACAACATATTTAGTAAATTTTGTCTGCACATGAAATAATTGTAATAATACTCACAAAACAAACAAATGCTTTACAGTAAAAGAAACAAGATGTCTACGCCAGTCAATGCAAGAGTAAGCATTAGATGCTCTGTTATATAACAATTCAATAAAATTTCCCATGATGCAGAACTCTAGTCACTGACTTAATTATGACGTCCCAACAATTTCACAATAAAACAATCAAAAACACCACGAAATAGAAAGTCGAAACCATACATCTTATCTGCTTCCCAATTACTCTGCGCCATGGTTGTTACTCCAACAGGAATCTACTCCGTCAGCCTCTTTCCTTCTCTGAAGTCAATCCAACAACATAAATGAATTTGATCAGAAGATTCTTTCACTAAAACAGCAAACAAAGCACAGTCATGAATCTCTAATTCAGAAGGTCTATTTCACCAATTGGGTTGATAAATGAAGCTCGAACGATCCGCACAAATCCTCGAACCAAAGTTCACAGAAAAAGAAAAAAATGCAGTAATACAAACAAATTAAAGATCTCGACTTAATAAAGACAATAAAAAGAGGATATTCTAATTCAAAAAAATATATACATATGTACTTCGTCAATTCACCATAGATTGCTTAAATCCATCACGCAGACGAAATTCCCTTAGATCAGCAAACCTAAATACGAAACGCAGAGCTCTTACCAAATTTCTCACAGAGATCACACAACCTGTTACAAACATGCATACGAAGTCACACTCTTGGTCGGCTATTATTCAACATTTCATCAAATCGTTCAAAACATCGTATAATTCAAAATCTAAAAGAGATAAAAGTTAGAGAAAAAAAGGTAACAAGTACAATTCATCAATTTCAGCGTAGAAAATATGGAAGCTTAACTGAAAGAGTGTAGCTTAGAGAGAGACAGAGAGATCGGCAAAGGGAAAGCCGAAAACAGCTGGTTAAAAGTGGTCACGTAGGGATCTGGGCCTCAGGCTTGGGCTGAGGTATTAAAAGAAGCATTTATATAGTGGTTAGGCTTGGACTGAGGCCCGGACAGGTATCTTGTGGGTTGCAACTTCCCAGGGCGCAGAGCCTCAGGCTTTGTGTGGGGCTTTGGTTGTGATAACGATGGGGTTCTTAAATATCGTACGGTTTTAGCTGAGTTAACTCGGCAAGGAGCTGACATGGCGGTGAGACTTGCTCGATGTCTGAGGTGTTGTGAAGGGAGGGTCGTTTTCAAAGGTGCTGCTTCGGGATTCGGGAGGAATCGGAGCCTGGGCTTCGAGCCCCCGCACCCAAAGGTCATTCTCCATATTAAGATATCGATAGATCTCGCGTCTAACCGTCAGGCGGTGTATTTTTGCCATAAATGTACATTCTTTTATTATAAAATATTAGCCAAAAAATAATAAGTTGGATCATCAATAATTTTCTATTTCTTTCAATCAATGATGTTTTTTGTAGCTATAACATTGACATATTAATCAATATATTATTCTGCTAACACGTTACACTAATATAAATTTAATTTTACAATATATATTTATACATCGATATAAGAAAAAAATAAAAATTATACTTATTCTTGTTTACCATATAATACTCAATTATTATTTTATTATAATATTATTGTCATATAATGTCATTACAATTATCAAGGTTATAGAAGTAGTCTTCTTCTTTTAGTTTATGTTATGAAATTTAAAATAAAATTTTGTGTATAAATGTTTAAAAAATACACACACACATGTTTTTAGAACTTAATTTTCTCATAATAAATAAAAAAAATTGATTTAGCAAATTGCCAAATAATAAACTCTTACAAAATCAAGTAATTTATCTAGTTTACATCCTAAGGCATTATTAGTTTATTTAACATACTATGCTATATAAATATATATTTTATAATAAATTCATTATGAAAACAAATAAAAAAATGATAAAATTATCATGGTTGACAATGATATACAAATAAATAACATGTTGAAATTGTAGAGAATAATTAACATATTTTAATCTTATTATCTAGTCATTAGTAAATTAATTTAATTTGAAAAAACTATTTGTTCTTATATAATTAAATAAAGGTTACAAAATATTAACAAAAAATATTATACTAACTTGATTTCGCCTAATTAGTTAGAAGGAGAAAATTATTTAACATGTTACGATTATTTATAAATATTTTAGGATGAAAGTCAACATTTGTGAAAAAATTAATAATATGGTTAAGAGTTAAAAATTGTTTTTATGTTTATGTTGACAAAAATATTATCAACATGAATCACGGAAAATCAAACTATAGTTTATTATAATGGATATTAATAAAATTATTGAAGATCTTAATAAATTATTCAAGGAAAGAATCGTTTTGATCATATCTAATTTGAAAATGTGTATATGAAAGCAATTAATGCATATATTTAAAAAAATTCCAAATAAGCTATGCATTAAATGCTCCCCAATTTTTTTGCTACTATTTTTAATAAATTGTTCTCTTATATATATAATGTACAAATAAAATTATAATAATTAATAGTATAAATATGAAAATTAATTATGATAGTTAGACCGCGCAACTTCACTTTAGAATTTGTATAAGGGTATGCTTGGATATAAGTTTGTGATGGGATATTTTTGCTTTAATTGATTTTTTTTATTTTAACTATAGTTAATTTTGAAAAAGTTGATTAAGTAGGTTTTGAGTGGAATTTTGATTTTATATTTAAAATAATATTTAAAATAAAATGGTTACAATTGATTTGATATAAAAGTAGGACATGGTTGATTATAAGTGATGGTTAGGTAAAATTATATGAGTTGATAAATATTGAATTAAAGTTAATATGATATATAAGAATGATTGATAGATATTATTTAGAGCATAATGGAGTTGATTAAGACTTCGAGCTAAAAAATGTGATTGGTGAAAAGTGAATGAAAATTGGTTGTGTTTTTTAAATTCAAGCACACTCAAACAGTGTGATTGATTCACATTCTTCTCATCATTGAAATGATTCTCTTCCAATTGTATTTTCCTCTTTCTTTGTTTAATTTATTTGCAGTTTCTTAACCAAAAAAAAAAAACTCATAATTCAACTCAACTTTATTCTCTTACTTTTTATAAATATAATTAAATAATATCAATTAATTATTTTCACACATCACATCAATTTTAATTTACTATTCACTCACTTACATAATTTTAACTACTTATCACTTTTAATAATCACTCTACTACTTTTACATCACCATCAATTTCAATCATTACTTCAAAAAAATTTTAATCATTACATTTTAAATATTATTTAATTTTAAATTCAAATCATCCACTCCATCTAATTTATCTTTAACTCACTTTAACTAAACAAAATCGGTTAAAAAAAATAAAAGTAGAAATCTGCTATGTTCCGCCGCTTCGTTTTCCCCAAATCCATCAAACCTTAGTATTCCGATATGTGCCGATTGACTTCCTCAGTGGCAATCAAGTTTAGCCGGCGGTCGCCAGCCCTCGGCATCTTGGACACCGTCCTTTTATTTCGTGCTCTCCCCTTCGTTACAATGGAGGCCGCCTTCAGCTTTCACGGACGGTTTTCGCCAATTCAGGTGTCATTTCGTGTTTTCAGTTTGATGGCTCCTCTGATGTGCGGTGGTGGTGCCGTGGTGTGGTTATAGAGGATGGACGTGGCTCGGTTGCTTGGCGGAGTTGTTGTCGGGTGTTGGTGTTGCACAGTCGCATACGGCCGTCTCCCCCCTTTCGTACTCTGGTGTTGGGTCGAGTGGGGTTGTTGCATCCATTCTTTAGCCAGTGGTGTTGGTCGGCGTGGAATTGCGGTGGAATGGAGGGCCTTAAAGCTGCTTCCAGGTGGTTTGGGGGTCGGAGCCTGGCCATGGACTTCTCTTGCCCACCCCTTGTTTTCTCTATGCTTTGAGGCCCGGGGGGTTAACCGGGTACTGTTGAATCAGCTAGTGGTGTTAGAGGATTTGGTCCAGTGTTCGGGGGAAAGTAGGTGTTGTGGTCGTGGTGCGTATTGGCTTGGATATTGTTTCGTGGCTTGAGTTTCGAATCCGTTAGGCAACGGAGTGGTTTAGGCAGTTTCGATTAATTTTGATCCTTCTGGCTGCAGGACTCACTTTGGGTCGACCTGTTCCGCTATCTCTGCTCGGTTTAGCTGATTGGGGAAGGGAATGTTTTGTTTTGTTTGAGTTTAGTTGTTATTTGTTTTGTAGTTTTTGTTCAGTTCGTTTGATCTCGTGTTTTTAGTTTGGGCCGTTGGCCTCTGTCCTCACCCGAGTGTGTGCTTTATTATTCTATTGGGATCATTTCTCACTCGGGCATTATCCTTTTGAGATCTTTTAGTTTGTGGTAGTTTTTATTTTGTAGTGTTGTGTCTTTGTATTCTAGTGTTGCTAGGTCCGGCTCTAGGCGATCTTCGGATCTGTCTCTTAGTTTATTCAATCGTTGGTCTTTACTTTCAGTCTTTGGCTGATTTCTTTTCGCACGTTGTGCATTCTATAAAAATTCTATCATTTCGAAAAAAAAATAAACAAAATCGGTCGGGATTCATATCCAATCGCGCCATAAATTTTGAGTGTTTTGTTTGGTTAAAGTGAGTTGCTGAGTAAAGAGACTAAGTTGATGATTTTAAGTTTGAAATTAAATAATAGTGTAATGATTAAAGTTAAAAGTAGAAGAAAGATTATGAAATGATTGGTAACTAAAATTATTTGAGGGGATGAATAGTGCATTAAAGTTGATGTAATGTGTAAGAATAATTGATTGATATTATAATTATATTTACAAAAGATAAGAGAGTAGAGTTAAGTTGAATTTTGAGTTAAATGGTTGAATATGAAATAACTTCGCGTGATTGTATATAATTTGTACAGTAAATATCTCACTCAAAACTCAAATTTAACTCAACTCCACTATCTCCAATATTATCAATATAATTAAATAATATCAACCAATCATTATTACACATCACATCAACTTTAATTTACTATTCACCCACTCACATAATTTTAACTAGGGTAAATAATTTTTTCCAACCTGTACTATTCGTGGTTTTGGGATTTTCAACCTAAAGTATTTTTTGTTGTAAAATGCAACCTGAACTACATATATACAATTATTTGCACGCTCGACTACTTTTTTACCGTTCGATCATCTACAAAAAAGGACACGTGTAAGGTCAAGATGTGGTCGAGCGTGCAAATAGTGACTGTATATGTAGTTCCAGTTGCATTTTACAACAAAAAATACATTAGGTTGAAAATCTCAAAAGCACGTATAGTACAAGTTGGAAAAAATTATTTACCCTTTAAAAAATCATAAAGTAATATGGTAGTACAAAATTTTGAGTTAGATGGCGCAATATGTGATTGAATATGAGTTATAATCGATTTTCATCCGATATGACATGTTAAGGGGTGACAACTATTTAAAAATTAGTTTTTTTTTTTAACTATAGTTAAGTTTAAAAAAAGTAATATGTTTAGTTGTTAGTGGATATATTAAAATAATATATAAATTAAAATAATTAAAGTTGATTTGATGTAAAAGTAGGAGAAAATGATTGGAAGTGATGGTTAGTTAAAAGGGTAAATAATTTTTTCCAACCTGTACTATACGTGCTTTTGAGATTTTCAACCTAATGTATTTTTTGTTGTAAAATGCAACCTGAACTACATATACAGTCACTATTTGCATGCTCGACCACATCTTGACCTTACACGTGTCCTTTTTTGTAGATGATCGAACGGTCAAAAAGTAGTCGAGCGTGCAAATAATTGTATATATATAGATATTTGTCAAAAATTTATATGGCGCAATATGTGATTGAATATGGTAGTACAAAATTTTGAGTTATAATATGGTAGGAATATGGTAGTACAAAATTTTGAGTTATAACCTATTTAAAAAAGATTATAATCAATTGGTGAGATCTTTTGATGGCTTGATAAAATTGTAGATATTTGTCAAAATTTATATTGATTGCATTTATACACAATTAATGTAGAAATTTACAAATTTAGTTAGTTCATTGCTTATATAGGACCAGATACATAATTTGGGAACTATTATATGAATCAATTTGACCAATTTGGTAGTTGTTCGAAACTGAGAAGATGAAATGAGAAATGCAAATGAAAAAATTGACTAATCTATTAATATATAAAAAATTAAGGAATTATCTTACATAGTAAGAAATAATTTGTCTTAAATTCTCATTTTTACTAAATTTAAAAATTTTAAAAATAATTTGAAAACTTTTGAATGAAATTACGGAGAAAATTCGTTAAATTTTATCTCAAATCTAAGAAAGTTTTTCTCCTAAAAATTGATCATTACGTGCTTCATCTTCCAATTACATCCTTTATTTATTCATAGAAACAAGTGACTAGGTATATCTATTTCTTCATATTTCAACTTCTATGAAGTTCCGTTCTTTGCTACAACTGATAAAAATCGTTGTTTTAGAGGATGCATATGTAGAAAGCCCTTTTTCCCTTTTCTTTTTTTTTTTCCACTCTATAGTGAAGATAGTCGCATGTAATGACAAATCACAGCTATATTATTAATAGCTTGTGGTAAGAATAAATTTCATTCTTGTGCTCAAAAATAATATTCCAAAGCTTTCGTATGTTCTCCATCACTTATACGGGTAAGACCTATATTATGGAGTATATAACTTCGATCATAGGGATCAATTTCTAGTCGTATAGCTTCATAATAATTATATAAAGCTTCCGTATATTTTCTTCAGATTGGGCATACATTCGTTATGGTCACCATTCAATTAAAAGAATCTCCGTTTCAGAACCGTACATGAGATTTTCACCTCATACGGCTCCTCCCTTATGTGCATAAGGAGAATAATAGATGAAAAAAAATGAAAGATGAAACTCTTCTCGTTATGGATTGAGCAGAGCTAGTGTTTTTACAAGAAATTTCTAGTCAGCTCTCCTGCAAGAGATCTATTTCTTAACATCAAGAAATCTCTAGCCAGCCCTCTTGCAAGTGATCTTTTCTTAACATCAAAGGTGGTGGGACTAGATAGAAATGAGAACTCTAACAATTTCCTTCTTTTCAACACTTTCTAATTTCCAGGAATTAGTCACTTCAACAACATTCGATGGTTATATTGGTATCCAAAGTACAAATGAGATGGATGTTTGTTGTCCCAACCATTCTTTTAATCCCGAGCTAAAAAAGAAGGAGGATAATTCAAACAAGGTTTTCGTGTTGGTTGATTCCCAGGTGTAGCCTTTCTTCCCTTATGCTGCCCATTGGTCCTAATGGAGTAAGATTTGCACCCTAACACAGAACTTGTAGTGTAACCTTTCTCTCAATACAAGAATCAAAAATTGAAACATAATATCTGAGGTTTGCAGTAATTGAAGATACTCGACAGAAGGAATTGTTCTATTTCCAAATTTCACCTTCAACAAGCGTAGATTTCTTTCAAAAATTTTCCCGAAACACGCGGGTTTTTCATAAGACAAAGATAAATTCACAAAAAAAGGGGAGAAATAAAAATAATCAAATCACACCATCTCTGTAATAGGTAAATGCCTCTTTTTCTTCTAAGATGTTGGTTCGGCTCACATGAAAACACCGGAGCCTCTTTGCTTCCAGTTCTTACAATCATGGAATCTTTTGTCAGGATTCGAACACGTTTTCGAAGTCCTCAATTGGGCCTTCAATCCACAATAGCAAAATACTTCAGACAGAGAAGAAACTGAAGACGTCAATATCTCCGTGCTTCTCCTGTAATATTGATATTTCCGGTTATAGAAAGCAATGATTGAGCTTGAATTATAACGATTTATAGGATTTTTGAACAAATGACCTTTTTTTGCCCAATTGAATGAGAGACTGGGTCAAATTTTGTGATTTATCCTAAATTTAACCCCTCGATCGACAAGCAACTGATGAGGCATCCAGTTTGCATCCGTGTAAATAACATGTAGGAAATTAAGAAAAGTTAAAATAACACGTCATTGAACTATCCGTCCACGACAGCATTTTATCAGAATGAGGTTACTAATGCATCTTATTCAACCAAATTGTCAACTTAATGTATCTGTTTTGATATGACTCAAATCTATGTCTTGTTTTTTAACAACGTCAAAATCTGTGTATCAGTATTAACATTTTGCCCACAAACATATCACAAATTGATAACACAACCAAATGCAAATCACTCTCCCTCTTGTCAAAGTCAAACAAGGCCTTCTTGACCTCCCCACCTGCTTCTTTATTTTCTCTCTACTTATTATTAACCTTTTTAATTTCACACTCTACAAACAAACTTGGACCCGATTTTTTCACAAAATAATTTGATTACTAAATAAATGAAAATGATTTTCCTATCGCAATAAAATGCCTACTGATTGATCTGAAATCGAATCTGTCGATCAATCGAAATCTAATAATCAATGATCGCTATTGTGTCAGGATTTGGACCCCCAGGCAATGGCTTCTGCCACCGCCAACTCTCGCTCAGCAAGGTTGGCCTCGTCCTTGCGGCTCTCGTTGCCCGTCGTCGCTTGCGTGGAAGGAGTCTGGGAAGCGGAACAATACTGAGCGTCGGGCTCGATCGGGAGAGAGCTGAGAGCGGTGACGACGTCTCTTATCTGGGGGCGGATGGCGGCGTCCTCCTGGAGGCACATGGTGGCGATGGCCACCGCCTGGTTGAATCTCTTCCTCAGAAACTCTCCTTTCAGGAGCTGGTCCGCTAGCTCGGAGAACCGATTCGACTCCTTAAAGATCGGGTCGGCCTGGTCGGTCGGAAAAAAAGGGGTTCAAAAAGGTCATATTTAGCATTTTATCTTAAAATTCTTAGAAAAATACTTGGTGTACATAATTTTCATACATAATCATCTATACAAAAATGCTCACATGCTCACGGTGGGCACATGTTAACATGTCCACTGCTTATGTGGCATGCACACATTGGTGATGTTAATATGTTAAAAAAAAAATACATCATCAATGTGTGCATGCCACATAAGCGGTGGACATATTAACATGTGTCCACCGTGGACATGTGAGCATTTTCCATCATCTATATACTCATTATATAGTGATCTTATCTTAATGTTTATAGAAATTTGTTTGGTGTACATAGTTTTCATACATAATCATGTATATACTCATTAGTCTCACTATATATTTCCCAATTTTAAAATATTTCTGACGATTATTTTTAGTATATAATTTCTCAAAAAAAATTATGAACTATAAAAAATAATTAGTATATGCATGTGCATTTGTACATAAAAAAAAAATGTTATTGGTTATTAAACGTAAAATAATATTATTTGATATAATTTTAATTATTAAGTTGTTTAGAAAATTATGAACTAAAAATTAAACAATTTACACATCACAAATAATCATACATGTTAACAACATTTTATCATACTATTGATAGCTAAATATAATATCAATCATAAAATTGACAAACAATAAAATGTTACTATATATGTTACTAACCCATGTGACAAGATTTTGTTGTTCCGATCTCCTCCTAGTGTCCACGGCCTTTAGGTCCGTGATAAGCTCCAACAGCACAACACCAAAGCTGTACACATTGGATTTCGAGGTTAGCTGGCCCGTCTTCTGGTACTCGGGCGCACAGTACCTGTAAGTCCCCATCACTCGGGCCGACACATAGGTCTCGTCCCCCATGGGCCCAAGCTTGGCCAGCCCAAAATCGGACAGCCTGGTATTATACTCTCTATCGAGCAGGATGTTGGATGACTTTAGGTCTCGGTAGATGACAGGTGGGTTGGCTTTAACATGAAGGTACTCGAGGCCCTTTGCCGCGTGTAATGCGATTTTCATCCTCGTGAACCAAGGCAATGGGGGCTGGCCCGACGGGAGGTCTTGAGAAATTAGAGTCGGATGGTATAATTAGAAATTTAGAGTGTGATTGAATATGAATTTGATTTGGTTTTGATTGGTATTTTTTGTTAATTATAGTTAATTTTTAAAAATATATTATAGTTAGTTGTTAGTGGGATTTTGAGTTTATATTAAAATAATATTTTTAAGATAAAATAATTAAAATTGATTTGATGTAAAAGTATCAGAGAGATGATGTGAAGTGGTGGTGGGGTGAATAGTGAGTTAATGTTGATGTGATGTGTAAGAATGATTGATTGATGTTACTTAATTATATTGATAATATTAAGGATTGTAGAAGTGAGTTAGTTTAATTTGAGTTTTGATTAGTTATTTATTTATTTTTATATCCAATTACACTCTTAGTTCTTTAATCCTCATTTCATGAAACTAGTTGGAATATAGAAAATTCTGATATAAGCAGATAACTTAACAATACAATGGTTAAGGCCTAATTGAATATAAGTTATTTTGAATTTGATTGGATTTATTGAATAAAGTGAGTTAATTTTGAAAAAATGTTGATTGGGGTTAGTTTGAGTGGAATTTTGAGTTTGTAATAAAATAATATTCAAAGTGTAATGACTAAAATTTGTATGATGTAAAAGTATGAGAGATGTGATTGAAAGTGATGGATGGTTAAAATTATATATGTGACTGATTAATAATAAATTAAAATTAATATGATGTGTAATGATAATTGAATGGTATTATTTAATTATATTGATAACTAGTATAACACCCGTGAACAACGCGAGTATTTGAGGAAAAAATTAATGATGCAACAAAGAATGAAAAAGAAATAAAATTTTTGTGGTGAAATAAAAAGTTTAAATGATTAATAATAAAGTAAAAGAGTTTTTAATATTATTTTAAATTTTAAAAATTATTTTGTATGAAATATTATTTATTTTTAATATTATTATAATGTTCAATCTCTTTGTAGTCTTTATTTAAGATGAGACATAAATTTTAAAATATTTTTTTATATTCATTTTATGTTCATACTTAGTTTATATATATTCTTTTCAATTAGAATAAATATTTTATGATATATTAATATAAATCAATTTCTAGCTTCATAAGATAATTTGTATTCTTTTTTCTTGATTTTGCATTTTTATATATGTAATATGGATGTCAAATCAAAGATCGTTAAAAGATAATTAATTTGATATATCATATATAAAAACAAAATAGAAACAAAAAATGTTATAAAATTTTAAAAATAAAAAGAAGGCACATTTATAATAATTGATGTATGAATTAAATAAGAAAAGGAAATGTAATATATTGTATGTAGGAAAAGGAAACGTAAAATAGATTATGTTAACTAACTGTACAAGAAAAGAAGGAATAAATCAATCAAATATTTAATGCAATCTAAGTCTAATTATTATTTTATAAAAAATACTAATTTATATCTAAGCCTAGCTACAAAGCATTGTTTTTTGCCACATAAAATTACAAAGCGTGTGAGCCTACCACTTAGGCTCAATGCATTCTGTAATTATATATAAGGGGACATTGACTATGTGTTCAGTTAAGTAGTATATTCTTTCCAAGGTCCTTGCTATGCTTGGATATAAATTTGTTTTGGTTTTGATTGGATTTTTTGATTTTGTATGGTTAATTTTTAAAAAAAGTAGTATGGCTAGTTATTAGTGAAATTTTGAGTTTATATTATAATAATATTTAAAATAAAATAATTAAAAGTTGATTGATGTAAAATTGGAAGAGAGATGATGTGAAATGATGGTTAGTTAAAATTATGTGAGTGGATGAATAATGAATTAAGGTTGATATATATAATGTGTAACAATGATTGAGTGATATTATTTAATTATATTGATAATATTGAGAATACTGTGGTAGAGTTAAAGTTAAGTTAAATCTGAGTTAAAATGAGTTATAAGTTAACTGTGCTATAGTCCCAGTAAATGTTCTCAAAACAAGAAGCAAAAGCCTCTGCTCGCCATCTACACAGTACCCAATTAAGTCACTAGATTTTCGTGGTGCAAAAGGCTAAGCATCAAAACCTCGACCAAAAACTCTTGGTTCACTTGAAGCCCATTGCGGTCGAGTTGCTTAACAGCTACCATCTGAACGAACAAAAACATCCCGATTATCAACTCATTCATAATTTCACTATAATTTATTCAAGCAATCAAGTGATCAACAAAAAGTACCTGGCCGGTGTTTTCGAGACGGTCTTTATAAACCCTTCCGAATCCACCTTCACCGAGCATATATTCTTGCCTGAAATTCTTTGTGGCTGTTGCTAACTCTCGGTAAGTGAAAGTTTGTGCCGCAATAATGTTGTTAGTAGATTCATTTGCCGTTGAATTTTTATGATGATCTGCGCATTAGAATCATTTATCTTGTTAAATGAGATTAAAATGTAAAGCTATTGTCAAATTTGAAGTTAATTTGAGGTTTTTGCGAAATGTAGTATATTTATGGATATTAATTTGAGGTTTTCGCGATGTTCATGATGAAGCTCGACAAATTGTTTCAGAAAACATCCAACAGAAAATGATATAAAAGATTGAAACAGAACAACTCAACCGGCCAATTTACAATAGATAGAATGTCTAAATGATTGTTTTTTCTTCTCTAGCTAAAATTGGTACAAGAAAAGAACTATATAACCATGCAGCATCGACTTACCATTTGTCGAGTGGTCAGAAGGATGTTTTTGGGAATGGCTACGTGAATTGGAGGCGAGCATGGGCCCGCCTTCATTTATGTCTTTACATTTTATCGAATCTTTTCTTCCATGACATGTGAAACACGGAAAACACCTCATTCTTGAGTAAATCGATCTTGTAATGCAAGAATTAATGAAAAAGGTGTGATATTTTACGTTTGTAATCTTTTGTAAGCGGATTATATTTCGAATCAATACGCATTCTTTTTTTCCTATAGGCACCAAGGAAGCATTGCGAGATTATCCCAAATTTGTGTTGTTTAATTTTCCTTAGAAAAAAAGGACGATGATCATGGTTTCTTGAATATGAATGTAGGGGCAAAACTTCTGTATGGAAAACAATTATTTTATATAAGAATGGATTGTATACAGAAATTCACAGTTCCAGGTTGCACAAAATTGTCTACGATCAATAATTCGTGTAGGACAAATTGTTTATTTACTATTTTTCCTTCCCGTAAATTCCCGAAGAAAATGGGAGGAGAAGGAAGGGATATACATGGAGAACTTGTTGTGGAGAGCACAATGCGGGGCCTAATTACTCATGTTTTTAATACTTTTGTTATGCATACACCACTTAAAAAATAAAGATTCAAATTGAAAATCTTAAAAAGACTTGTTGTTTGGCCCTCCAGGCTCCACCATTGAAGGCAAAGTAAGAAAATTAAATATAATTGGAAAATAACTAGTACGTAACTCGTGCGATGCACGAGATGTAAAATTTGGAAGAATAATATAACCTCACGTGCATTAGGATCGAAATTGAAATCATTAAAATACATAGGAACATTGTTGAATCATAAAAAGTTCGGTAACAATCATATATTATTAAAAACCTCCTTGTACATAACATTATGGGTTTGATTATTTAGTAACTCCTCATTATTACAAACTAATATTTTCAAAAGAGACAAATCCTAAAAAACAAATTAATATTTTTGGTGATTAAACTAATATTTTAGGATTGGTGAACAAACTAATATTTTAGGATTTCTAGGATTTGTCTCTTTTTAGTGAACAAACTAATATTTTAGGATTGGTTATATGAATAAGGCTACCTGTTTTTGGTGTTCTTTTCATTCATTTTTATTCAAACAATCCGATGACTTGTATAATGAAATCCGAATCTTAAGCTGAAATATTTAAAAAAAGAGTTTTTAAAAATTGAAAAGTCAAGGTAATCATTTCAGATTAATTAAAGATCAAAGAATATCCGCTTCTTGAAATAAAGACGTGTGCTATCATTAACCAAATATCTGGTTATTGATATAGAGTGGTTACCAAAAAATAGAACGCGATAAAGACGCTTCATGGAAATATCAATGGGATAAGGTCATAACAGATTGCTATACATTTTAACGATAAAAGCTCAGATGGAATGATTTATGATAATTATGTCGTAATTAATGTATTAATTAGAAGTGTGAAAAGGACATAATTAATGAGAAGTGTGAAAAGGACAAAAACTTACCGGTTTTGGAAAATATTTAATGTAAATCCGACATTGACCATAATTTGACCTACTATTTTAGATAAATGTTAATTCTTATTATATAAGTATAGATAACCAAACGAAAAAAAAAAGTAAAAAAAAAGACTTGGTTAACAAGTCCAAATTTCATGTCTTGGAGCCAACGAACAGGAGTTTGAATCCCACTAATTGTGTAAAGTAGTTTTATTTTAGCCGCTTGAGCAAATACACGATGCTATTAGNTCACTAGACACCTAACACCACAAAATACAACGAAAAACTACAGGGATCCCAACAGGATACTACCCGAGTGTCTGCTCCCAACAGGAGAATCAATTTGACACTCGGGTTCACTGGGACCAAACGGCCCAAACCCAAAACACAGGAAACAAAATAACATAAACAAGCACAAGAAACCCACAGAAAAACTAAATAACTAAACAACTAAGCATAAAAAACACTCAAGCCCTTCCACAGTAGCAAATCCAGGACAGACCAGCAAGCACCAAATCGACTTCAGAGGAATCCCTATCCTGAGAGGCCGACCCCTCCACTGCCTAACCGCCTAGCTGAGCCGAATCCCAAGCATCAAGAAATCCCCAAAAACCAATTCACCCCGAGCCGAACTCCAGAAGGCACCCAGCCGCCACAGTATCTAGCCGACTAACACCACTAGCAACTCGATACCAACAGCAAACACTCCAATTCCCCGTACCAGAGAAGATACCCAGTCACCACCGAGCCGAGCCAACTAACACCACTAGCAACTCGGACCCAAGCAGCAAGCATCCCAGGACCCTGCGCCAGAGAACCGGAAGAGGGAACTCCAAATGTAATAATATGATTGGCACAACAAGCAAAATTTTAAATTTTATTTTATGAAAGTTTTTCAAAAATGCTTACCTATCCAGGTAAGCACGTTATGATCGCTTAATTTAAATCACATACCATCATGTATTTTATATGTTAGTTTTCTGCCATATCAGTTGGTTAACACATTAATTTGTATTCACCTTGTAAGAAGAGCGAAATTGCAAAATTCGTTACGCTATTTGATGATTGTTAATATGGAATAGAAGAGGCAACAAGAAAATAACATGTATTTAAAAAATTCATGACCAAGAAATACTTGTAGACAATTGCCAGTTTAAATTTTTATTATTTTATAAATAACATATTGTTATTTGATATTTTATAAATTGACATGATAAAGAAAAATTATAAAGATAGATGAAATTATTTTTTTGTTATATATGAAATATGGGCTTCAAATCGAAAATCGTTAAGATGAATATTTTGATATATCATATATACAAAAATAAAATTATAAAATTTTAAAAATAAAAATAATATTTATTTATAATAATTAATATATAAATCGTGCATATAAGAAAAAAAAGAGTAGTATAGAGTAATTTAAGAAAAAAAATGAAAGGTAAAGTAATTTATGGTAATTTTCAAGCGTAATAATCGAAATTAACCATGTACATGTGTTAATACAAAACACGAACTTATGTCAAATAAACTTACGAAACATACGAGTCTGTCACTTAGGCTCATCGCATTTGATATTTATATACAAAGTGATATAACATGTTTGGATAGAATAAAAAAAAAGTCAAATTAACAAAGTTGTAAATAATATTTGTGTTAGATACATAACTTTACAATTGTAGTTAAAATAATTATTATTTTTGAAAACTTGAGGATGGAAAATGTGTCATTTTAAATATTTATCTCGCTATAAGTTATTCATTTGCTGTACATTTATTTTTTTATTATTTCACAATAATATTATAAATAGTTTTAGATGTTTATTCTTTATACTATACATTTCTTTTCATACACCTTGCTTCTTACTAGTACGAATCCCGTGCAATGCACGGGGTGAACAGTTTTAAGGCTATTTGCTCAAATCTTTTTTTAAATTTTCTTTTTTGTGAATAAAAAATACTAAACAAAATCGAAAAATAAGAATATTATATATTATTAAATACCTCTACATCAATTAGTATATCTTACAATCAAATTTTCAAATATAAAAGTTTGTATTTGATTTTTAACTATACTGTAAATATAAAAAATAAATCGTTTTTTTTACTACAATTATAACTATATAATAATTATTTAAACACCTATTATGAGTAGGAACATAAGAGTAAGTAATTGGACCAGCCTTATCAGTTTTGGTAATCAAAATAAATGGGCCAGATCAAAATAATATATGTTATCAATAAGTGCCCATTATAATATCCTAGCCCAACACAATAATTAAAGCCCATTTAAGCAATGGGGATACCCTATTATTTCCCATCAGATCACGTCACTCTCTCTTTGCCTTCTCCAATATTTTTCATATGCGACAAAAAGAAAAAATTTTCCAGTTAGCTCAATTAAAAAAATATCCAAAAAATGCTTAGATCGGTCGACATATGTAAGAAATGGTTGGCTCGTGAAGGTTCACAGTTCACACAACAACACGATCGAAATTTTTGACGAAGCATAAGCTTTTACTTTGGATCTTGAAGAATAAACCACATATCAATTGTGTCCGACACTAATTTCGAAGGTTTGTCGATTATCTATATATATAAATTTTTAAATTTTGGTCTAAATTTTACAGAATCGAAGGCAGAATGTCTGAACCAACATTTATATATTTTTTTTTTCAGTTTTCATATAAAATATGAATGATTGAAACATATTTATGTACGATTTTGTTCAGTTGATGTTCGTATTGTATATTGCATGTCTAAACTAACACTTATATTGTACAAAATTCAAGTNTTGAAATACAAATGGTTCAAACCTTTTAAAATTTGATTTTAGAAACAGTAAATTGAAACTCAATCTTTATTTTATAGCATATATCTTTGAATGGTTTAGTCGGCTCTTTCGTCGTTGCAGGCGAATAGTTCTATTTTGTTATAATTTTTGTTCATGGGTGAGATTTGGCATTTGATTGGAAACATCTAATGAACTGCTTGCTCATCTGGGTTTAATTGATTTACAGAGTAGTGAATTCAATCTACTTAAACGTGGTATGGGCTGATCTCTATTCTTTTACAAATAATTGGTGGTTTGTGGTGTGATTCATAGCTTGTAATGTTTCAACTATTTAGGATTGGAATGCTTATGAAGATGGTTTTTCTTAAGGATTGTAAACGTATTACATAATTGTTAATGAGATTGTTAGACAGGAAGGGTATTAGAAGTGGAAAATTTTCCTAATTCCAACAGATATATCAACATGTTTGCTTGCATTTGATTCTGGGAATAAGTTATTCCCATTGTACAATAATATTCATTTCCACTTGTTATTACTAAATTTGTTAAGATGCCCTGTTAACTTGTAATTTTTTAACTTTGACCATTTTTTAAAAATGCATGAGAAAATGCCGTGCATCAATGAGTACATATCAAGATCACATTGCTAAATAAAAAAGCAGAAACTGACAGAAGAATCAAAGTTAAATAAAATAGTTCTCTTATATTCTTCAATAATATACATGAGTTTTTAAATTTATATGTTTGTCGTTTGATTTTTAACCACTACGCTGCTTCGGTTTATCGACTCACTGCGTTTCCTAGAATTGTTTGTTTCTACAAAAAAATAGCACCTAAAGTTTAATCTTTTTTACTGCAATTTTGAGTGTTGATGCTAAATTTGTTTTTAATGTAAATGTCGATCTTCATTCTTCCCTTTTAGATAGAATTTTATTTAAGCTATTATTAATTTATTTCATATTCTTTTCAAGCAAGATGAAGGAGCACGAAATAAGACTTAGGAATGATTATGGATTGCAAAACATGTACAGGTAGAAGCAGAGGGAGAGCTGCTCGTTCAAATTCTATCAGCACGCACAGTAACTATAAACTATAAAATTGTTTGATATTTTGATTTGTTTATCATATACTAATAGTAAATTATTCTTACTCTTTTTTGGAGGATAAACACAAAACACCTATAGCGAGATGCATGCAAATGAGAATGACAACTCATTGAACAATTGAAATTGAAGTAGTTCACAGTTGAAGTTGAAGTAAGTTAACAGGTAATCAAAAGGTATATTCAATATCAATAGTTTTAAGAAAGTAATCTTCTCGATAGTTTACAAATCTGAAAAATAAAAATCTAATATATAATTGCTGTAGGAATTACCTTGCGCTAGATTTTCATTACTCATTTCATGTGCTTCATGTTGTTTTATGTGATCTCTGTCCATGAAAATAATGTCGTGGCATTGCCAACTATCGAATCGACATATGAAAGTGCTTGCTGTTTAAAACTGAATATACAAAGTAATGTTAAAATCCATCTATAATAATGTATGTTTAAGAAAAACAACTCGTGTGTATAGTTAAATGAATCCTAAATAGATTTACATGATAAAATCTATCTATAATAAAGTCACCTTTGAACCTAACAAAACTTGTAGTACCGTTGATAACAAATTTAAAGTCACCAACTGTAAGTCGAAATGAACCAAAGTTGTTCTCCACTTGGTATTTGTTATTTTTCTTCATAAAAAAAAAAAATTAAGCATAAGTACATGAATGATTTCATTGCAAAGAGTAATATAAATTTATATAAACAAATACGAATAAAATCGAAACAACCTCTCCGTGGAAAAAGATTTCCTCGTAATTCTTCCACGCAGCTTCAAATCTGTGTGAAATAGCAGCTTCAAATTTGTGTAAAATAATTCATTGGTAATTTTTTGTTCTCGTAACATCTTTGATCGTACCAAATTCTAGCCGATTCATTTTTTATTGGTTTGTGTACTAAATAGCTAAAATTGAGAGTGATGAGTAAACAACATTCTAACAATGAATTTATAGGAGAAGGCCAAGGTATATTTTAGTTTCGTTCCATAAATAAGTGATATGAAAATATCTTAAGAAAGACAATAATTATAAATTGATTCAATAGAATATTATATAATTTTAATAGTGAGAGAGATGCAATTTCAATTAAATATCCTTGCTAATCACGTTGAAATATATGAAATTCGATACGGTCTCAAAATAATTAATTTATTCAGATTCATTATTGTATGAATATGATATGATTGTTGTAGATTTGGATGCACAATGAATCGGGAAGTTTAAAGAGTCGTCCAGCAATATTTTCATGACAATTGGGTTAATTAAATTGGGTTAATATTTATAGAATCGTCCAGCAATATTTCTACAAACTAAAGCCCGCAATGATTGACCCAATATATAGTAGATATTGAACGAAAATCTAGTTAGCCCGCAATGTTTGACTTCTTTATTTTGAATTTCAAAAAATGGCCGGCTTTTTTAAATTATTTACTAAAAAAAGTAAAATTGAATTATTTAAGCGGGGAAGTAGTTACTTTTTCAGGTAAATGTTAAACCTTTTTATATTATTATAGATTAGTTAGTAGTACTAGATATATGATTTAAAATGAAAATTAAAAAAACAAATACTGTAATCTCTGATTAATGTGTCCGCCCGAGCTAACAATGGTGCCTCGGGTCGACCCATTTTAGGATCCGTCATAAACCTCTTCTAAAACCCCTGAAATGTACATAGCCGGCGAAAGAAAAGTTTGGTTTATTCCCACCGCGCTTAAAGTAACGTCCGACCTTCGCCAGGAAACCATCATCAATAGACTCTGATAGACCGATGAATCAGTGTTGAGATCGAAGATGCACTTTGGGTTTCGACGAATGCGTCATATTTTCCGGGTTATGCCCAAGATTTATCCCGGTAAATGATGCTACTGCAAACGCTAATGAATGATTTTCATGCGTTCATTTGCTATGTGTTGATTTGTGTGAGTGTGTGTATGTGTGTTTGAGCTGTTTTACCTCTCATCTTCTGCCTTCAAGTTATGGATTCTGCCATTTATTTGCTTGGTTTATCTTGTTGAAGGTACTGTACATCACTTATCTGAGGCGAGCGTAAATGGTTTAGCGAGTACTCGTTCGACTGGTAGCTCTTGGAGGCTAGATTTGGCAGGTTGTCAAGAGCGAAGGTAGGGGTTTCAATTTTTACTGAGTAATTTTTTGTAAACTTCTACTTTAACTATTTTGTATGGTAGCAAGAATTAAATAACTCAGAAGCTGAAACTAAGTGCAGCTTCTTGATTGTAAGTATTAAATTGGACAGGGGTGTGAAGTTCTTTTCGTTGGATTAGGGTATTCCTTTGGAAAATGCATACAGTAGTGTTTATGTTGAGTTGTACTAATCTAATTATGGCATGTATATCAGGTAGAATACTAAAAAGTTGCAAATATTTTCCATGACTATATATGTAAAATGTGTTGTTGGTGTACTGTATTTTTCTGGACCAAATTGGATGAGTAATATTTCCTCTTTTTGGGCTGCAGAGAATCAACCTGAACCTAAACTTTGTCGAATTTCAATGGTCTGGTTATGTAGTTCTTTTTTGAATCAGTAATTTTGCTACTAACTGGACATCTGTATAAATACAGCCAAACCAATTGTGTGAGCAATTACAAATTTTGATCTTTGTATGACCATCTTCTCATAGGTTTTCTAATATTTCTTTATTCCACTTCATGCCTATAAAGCTAGTCAGTTTTTCCATGAGTGGTTCTCCCTCCCTTCTTCCCTCTCTAGCATTCTAACTTGTTAATGATAGCCTTTTCCAGGTATTCCTCCATATCAAAAACAAAGCGTCCTACCTCTTCGAATGAGTTTTGGTCAATGCTTAGGTCTTCTCTTAATCAGCCAAGAGGTGAGAGTGCTTGTTCCTTTTGAAGCTATTATTGCTCATTCAAATTTTAAAATGGATTAGATCAAGACAGTGAGATATATGTAGGGTTGTTATCCGTGTTGTATAAGTTAGGGATTGGAAATTCTCAGGAGTCTTGAGGAATAAAGATATGATTTCATGGTCTGCCTGAGGTTTATTTGGCACGTCATATGTTGACCTCTAAGTTCACATATTGCCTGTGTTCCCGGTCTGAAGTTTTTGGGCTTGTGTTATTTGAGTAAAAAGTGGTTGCTAATATTACTGTTAGCACTACTTTATCTTCATACAGACTCAACAGATTAATCTATGATATAAGATTTCAGTGTTATTTGCTAAATCAGACTCTCATACAAATGTACTTCTAGGCCCTTATTGGTGCTGGTTAAACTCTTATTCGAGCAGCAAGAATTTATTCAAGGAAGAACAAGTTTTCCTAGTTCTCCTCGGGAAATATGATGATGGTTCTTTGGGAGCTAAACAAAATACTATCAAGATGTTTGAAATAGCAAAAGCACTTCACCAGAGGTACTGATATATATTTATGTCCAAGACACTTACTAGGTCTCGGTGAATATAGGGTTGGCTAAAGAGCACGATGATGGTTGTGCTTTACAAACTTTTTTATTGCAGGTATTCTTTCCTTCAAGTTGTGGTTGTACAACACGGAAAATCAATGTGTCTCAACAATGCATCTAAGCATTTCCTCCAGAGAATCATTAAGGAATATGTTACTTTTCCTATCTTGTTATTTAACAAGCAAAGTATATCTGAGGTTGGTATTCATTGAAAACATGTTGGTGGAGATTTGTTGGATTCATTCTTCATAATGTTAACTTGAAGATGTAAATAATTGCTTATGCGTGAGAGATGTATCAAACCTATTAATTTAAGAAAAATGTGTTTAATGTCATGGCATGCTTTTAGGCTCTTCTTTTAAGTTGGTAAGTTTATTTCTATTGTTTATGAGTCAGACAAACACAGGCATGCCCTTAATGCAATAGGCAATCTTGAGACTTTTGTGTCTCCTCTTGGATTTATTCTTTTTATCATTAGTCCTATGCAAGTGATAGACCTTCAAATCTATTGTAGCAATGGTGAAATTAATTATTGATTGTGAATCATTTTAAGTACAAATTCCTTGCTTAATTTGGATGTGTAAACCTTTTTGTTGCCACAAGGTTTGTGAATTATATGGTGTCCTACTTTTCTTTATTTTTCTTAATAATTTCCCAAAAATGATCATAGTTCACGACTAGCGCAGACTTGATATATAGTTCTTTGTTTACTTTTGTATCCCCGTGGGTATGTACTTGGTTGTTTCCTTTATTGCTCTTAAATTAGAACTTTACTATCATCTTTTACTGCCTTGATTCTCCGCATATGCTGGCAGATATATCAAATATGTTATAATATATAGGCATACATTGTGTGTCAAGCAGATTCTCTTTGGCTGATAATGAATGAACTAAGAAAAATATATATTGTAAAAGCTTTTTGATGTACCCTTTGACAGATCACATGCTTTGATTCAAACTATTGTGGCATGTTCCTTTTTCCGATTGTTGAACTGATACACAGTCACCCTTTTTTCTATACCATTTCCCACTAATTGCATTCCTATTCTTTCCCCACCTCTTTCTCTTAGGTATGGATGCAAAAGGCACCCTGCGTCATCATTTCCAAAGGTTTTTCCCAAAATCCTATGATTTACCCTGGCGATGATGTAGATCTTAAGACACTTGATGAAGGTACTAGTGCTCATCATTTTTCCTTGTTTGGAGAGAGTGAAGCAGATTACTGTTATATTGCAGTTCAATTTGTTATGATTTTTATATAAGCTCATCAATGACGACAAGTTAATACAAACTTCAGAAACTTGAGTGTGGAAAAAAATAATCAGATACTTTTAAGTTAAATGCGAAATAAGACAGTCAAGTATGATTCTTTCTTCTCTTCTATGTGCTCAAATACATTAAGTTGTTACCCTGTACAATTGCGTTGGAGATTCGGCATTTAAAGGTTTTTTACCCAATATGTTTACTCAAATGGTAAAACACAGGACGCTTTTCTTTCGGAGGAAATCTTTTGTTAAGGTACAGATTAACAGCATTTTTATAAATATGAATGCCAATTTATAAAAGGCCTGTCCAATTACTTCTCGATGAAAGAGAATGGAAAATAACCGTTATGAATTCAAATATTTGATTAATGGACCAACACTTTAAGTTCATTTCGACTTTGTCTAGTGACTTTCTGCATTACTTGAAGTGTATTGATGTCTCACATTGGTGTGATCTAATGTGCTTGATATGACATTTATTGAAGAACTCTCATTTTTTAACTGCTATCAATTGGCAGCAATTCGTGATCTGAAGGTGAAACATGACAAGGGAGATAATGTTAATGATGCGAAGAGCACTTGGGTCAAGCCTATTGAAGTCATTAAGGAACCAGATGTTTGTTTTGCTTCACGAAACTTACTGTTTTCTTTCCCAGGTAGTCTTTTCCTTGCTTTCTGCAGATTTTAGTAACCAGATACTTTTTATCTTGTACGCGAGACTAATACCCAGAACACTGGTGCCGATTAATTCCAAATTGTGTCGATTTTCTTGCAGGTTGCATTTCAGTTGAGGAAGGTGGTGACCGCTTGTTCCTTTCCGATGTTAACCACCACAGGATTATCGTGTTTGACAGCCATGGGAAAATTTTAGATGCTGTGCGTACTGTTTTAATATTTACTTCTTCTTTAGGACCTGATTTATGTTCTTTTTCAAAAATGGCTTCTTCAGTGCATAGAAAGAGAGAGTGCATAAATTTAGAATTATTCTATCCTGTCAGATTGGTTCGTCTCCTGGATTTGAGGATGGAGAGTTTGAGACAGCAAAGTTAATGCGGCCTGCAGCTTCATTTTATCATGCCTCTGAGGATTGCCTATATTTTATCGACTCTGAGGTATGCGCCTCCTGATCAACTCTGAAGAGAATATCATTTCTTGTATTTCCATGTAGACTTCTGGTTTTTGTTTATTAATATTTTTCCCTCTTTCATTACAGAACCATGCAATTAGGAAAGCTGATATGGAGAGGAGGGTTGTGGAGACGGCTTTCCCATTGACTGGTGATAGCAAGAGGAGCAAAAGTGTATGGAATTGGATTCTAGATAAAATATGGATAAACAGGAATATAAAGCCACATTCGGAAGAGTTCAATTCCGACTCATTTTTGTTCCCTTGGCATCTTCTGAGGTCATCCAATGATGATACCTATGTACTTGATCAAAGGTAGAACCTTTGTTGCTTTCATTTTGCAGCTTCTGGTTTCATTTTCTAATCTTTTTTAGGTGCTCGGACATTAGAACTGTCATTTTCTTTGATTTGCCTATTCTTATGATAGTTGACTAGATTAATCTTTTTACAAGTGCTTGACCTAGTATGATATCTTTTCATCACACACCGTACAGCTTTGGAACTCTTTGGACCATAGATTTGGAATCAGGCTCTGTAAAAGAAGTTTTAAAAGGTATTTCTTTTTGTTCTCTCTCTCTCTGTCTCTCTCTCCCTTACTTCTTTTTCAACTTGTCCTTCCCTGCCAATTCACATGTAAATTACTCTGTGGTTCACTAACTTATCATTAATTGAAAGAACCTTCAAAGATTATGGAGAAATGTGGGCAGGCGATCTTGGAGAAATGCGCTCCATTGGAACATGTGCCTGCTGATTGGCTACAGCAACGAGCACATTCCACGTGCTCGTTTGAAGGAATTTCATATGCTGGCCTTATGTCTTCAGTGGCAACCTGTGGGGACCACATAGTGTTGTCTGATACAGGTATTCAAACTTGTCAATGTAGTCATCACTCGTACTCTGTTTATTTTTTTATTTTTTTTATTCTTTTATATCTGTGTATATAAGATGTTGACTACAGACTACTTGTATTTTCTGAAGTTGGTCAGACAGTGGTTAAGTTCGGCAGTGAAGCTGGGTTGGCAATGAGCTTTCAGTTCAAAAACTTTGGGGTTTTAGGGCTTCCTTATTGGATAGTGTCCTCTCTCGAACGAGTCTACTCTGCGTGAGTAATGGAGATTTGGAAATTTCTTTCTGCTAGCCTTGTTTTACTATATGATTTCATTTATTTATCTAATTTCCACAGAGATGATCCATACGGAGACCCTGATCATTCTCAATGCTTTCGCTTATTGCCAGGTCTTCACTTATTTTTTATTATGAACCAAATTTCTATCCTTGTCATGTTTTCCTTGCATACACTCTCCTATACGTCAGTCTCTCCACTACTCTCTTCATTATGTTAATTGAGAAATAAAATCCATGTGATTATGTGGCAATTACAAATTATATAACTGAAGTTATTTTCCTTCGGTTTTGTGAGTGCTGAAAACTAATAAGCTGCATTTGGATATCAACTTATTTCATTTTTCGTTTCATTTTTCTGTTTTGGTAAAACTATTCATTTATTCTCATTTCTCTCTGTTTATTTTTATTAACATTATTTTATTAAAATCAATCAATACTTCACACATTTTTGTCAATAAAAATCACCATTAACGCATAAGGATCTACCAATCAGTTTCATTTATTAATTATTTTTACACCAAATCAACTTTAATTATTACATTTCCATCTTATATCCCTTCACAATTTCTAAAGTTCTTCATTTTGCTTCCAAAAAATTCTCAACCCTATTTCTCAAGTGGAACAATTTTTTTTTTCTTTCTTCATTTTTTATATATATCCAATATGGTTTTGGATCACAATTTTCATAAAAGAACTCTTAAATCTATGAAACACATCTTCACTCTGTATTTCTCAGGGAGGGTTGATATAACACTGAACATCGATATTCCTCCACACACGGAACTAATTGAACGGCCACAAGAAGGATGCATATGGCGCCAGGCCAGAGGGTCTGCTATTGAGATCTCAGGAGTTGATGACAAGGCTGAATCATCTGAAAAGGTAAAAAAGGAGAATCCAAAATATCTCAGGCCTACATCATAGTAATTGAAAAATGCTACATCTGTAGGCTTTAGGTTTGATGTTCAAGGCTTGAAGCTATTGTTGGCATGTTCCAGGTGGGTATTGCTCAGCAGTGGTATGATGAAATTGATAATCTCAGCTTTTCAATGCCTCAAGAAGAGTCGAGCACGAAAGAAGAAATTGGACGAGCAGGTGAGGAAGTACAAGAAGGGAAAGTTCGAATTGGTTGCACAATCAACACTAGCCCCGGAACAAGTGAGGTATATATTCATCTAAGTGTTTTTCAATTTTTTGAGCTAGAGCATGCTTACGCCCATCTTTTATTTATTTATTTATTTATTTTGATGAAAATTGGTAATCAATTTGATTAACGCATACCAGCAAATACCATCCCCCGACATTTAGACAAATTAAAAAAACAAAGAAAAAAATTAACCATATTGATGAAGTATTTTAAAGATTTAAATTTTCGTTGGTGTGCTTTTGTAATAAATCCTGGGGATTGCATGTAATTTTATACGATAACTGGATTTCTCTTTCTTTCTTTATTTCTTTCTTTCTTTCGCTTTTTGGTTTGGTAATTAAGATATAATTTTTTCTACTTAAGATCTTAGCATACATACATTGTTTTTGGAACAAGGGACAAAACACTAATAAATGTTATTTATTTCTTTTGTTTGATTCGTTCTTTTTTTCTTTTTTGGTTATTAAACTAGGCTATTATTTATGCTGCGGTTTACTTGCGGCTGAAAAAAGAATCAAATAAACAAGTTAACAGCCGGGAGAATAAAGCGTCAAGGATAGCTGATATCTTAGATCCCAAGAAGAAATTCAAAAGGTATTTACTCATTGAACAGCTCATGCTGATGTCAGACAGAGATCTCGAAGAACTCATATTCATGAGACCTCTACACGTGCGGCTCAAGTTCAACTGTCGGGACCACCCGAAATCGGATCAAAACACGAAAGGCGTAGTCTTGACTGATTCTCTTGTGGAAGTTCATGTTACCCTGTAAGTGGCTGGTTTTAGTAAATTGCGGCTACATTCGAACATCATATATTTCGGTAAGAAGTGATCTCTCGGTTCTTCTTCTTGTTTGCTCCTGTGGGAATGATAGCTTAAACAATTGGGTTTGTTGGTGATTTGAGAATGAAATGCTCAAAAGAGTGCGATTTTGCTTGGCTTACCTTTTTCTGCCTACGGATTTCAAGGTTAAATCACAAAAACTGTATCTATTACCACTTTTTTTTTATTTTTTTTTCTCTGTTTGGCAAAATGATACATAACATATTTTTTTCTAAAAACGAAAATCAGTGTTGGGAACTTATTAGGATTTCAGTTTCCTTTTTACAATTTTTATTTGGTATATAATATAATTTATATAACTAGAAATTGTCAATAGAAGCACAAGAGGGACAAGTCTTACAGGTAGAGCAAAAGGTGGGTACGAGAAATATAGACTCCCACCAAAGAAACCTTGAAATGCAATTTTAGCCGTGGATCATAAATGAACACATCTTCGGTAAACTCAGAACCGTCGAAGCAAGATTTGAAGTACCAGCCTTATTGTGCAACACATTTTTGCATTTATAAACTCACCATAAAGTACCTAACTAGTGTTTAAAATAAGGAAAAGGCTACTTCTGCAATTTCTTTTACAAACATTTCATTACAAATATGGATGGTTGAGATGCAAATAAATGTATGGTTAAAATTTGAATCAATGAAAATTTTAATTAATGTTGCCAACTATAATTGTACATATATTAAGATAATCTATTTTACTGCAAATATAGGATAAATGGTAATATTTTTTTTTTGATCAGTAAATGTAAATTTATAGATCAAAACTGGAGTACAAACGACCGACAAATGGCATACAAAAACGCAGTGGGCTGCCACAAGCTCGACTCCTCACTCGTGGATAATATTAATTATACCATAAAAACCGAGCAAAATATTGGCCAACCAAACAATTGAAAAAAATAAATAAGAAGGAAGTAAATAAGTAGTTTGAAGTATATGTTTTATTTTTTTCTATATTATATTTATATGTACTATTACACCAGTTAGTCTAGTACTATCGGCGATATTCCTTCTAATCAATAATACTGGTTATTGATGGTTAGGCAACATGACCACGAGAGGTTAAAACACTACTTTACAAGATCTCGTATTTCCTACATCAAGAAAGAAGTTGGTGTAGTTATTAAGAAGATGGTTTAATGATAAATTTTTTGGTTAAATCGAGTGTAAGGCAAGAACATGTCCTATTGGATTATCTATCTGATTTTCGGGAGATGGTGGCTTTTGAACCCTCGAGTGCAGCTATTCGGTGATGGTCCCATTCTTTGAAGGATGGTTCTAGTTTCGTAGGTCCAACCATAGCCGTTTCAGAGTTTGAAGTCTATGGATCTGCTTCTTGGGCTGATGTCCTGTTCTTCTTGCATGGCCGACTTTGATTTGTTAGCACGTGTGGTGGCGGTGATGGTGAAGCTTGACAGTAGATGGGGATGTTTCATTTTCAAATTAGTATGCTATGCCTTTGTTGTTGTTGTTTTGTTAGTCTTCCTTCGTGGAGTAAGCTATTTTCTTTGGTGGAGTATTGTTATAGTCTCCATTGTTTGGGTGCTTTTTATACCTTGAGGGGGAACTTTTATGTTAGTGACACCCTCGAGTGGTTTGTTTCTTTCTGCCTTTTGCAGTTAAAAACTTCCCTTTGAAACCAACATGTTGGTTACTGATTGTACTTACTTTGAGTTTAATATATTCGTACAGCCGTTTCCAAAAAATAAAAAAATTTCATTTGTGTTGAATCTGAACAAAAGCATACTAACTTAATACCATCTTTCTTTTTAGGGCATCCGTATTGGTACCATTCATTTAAACACAAAAACATTCTCTATTTCACCCATTTCATGTCCACATCATCATTTTACTAATTTTTTTTACTTAAAACACTAACTCACAATGGTTGATACATTTAAAATATATATATGTAGGACCTATTAAATACTCGTTTAATATTACTTTTATTTTTTAAAGACTTGACTTCGTTTTTTTTTTTAATGTTAAATTGACCTTACATAAAATTGGCTTAACGCCATTCAACAGCTTGAATGATAGAGGTGGGTCTTAGGCATTTTGCATTTAATTGAATCATACGCATTGGTTTAAATGAAATCTTACGCATTTAAATGGCTTCATGTCTTACCAGTGCGGATGCCTTTAAGAATGTTAAGGGTGTGTTTATTTGTAAATTTCAATTAAATACGCATTGGTTTAAATGAAATCTTACGCATTTAAATGGCTTCATGTCTTACCAATGCGGATGCCTTTAAGAATGTTAAGGGTGTGTTTATTTGTAAATAAATTTAGTATATACTTAATATTTAACTCAATCATACAATCCTCAGTATTGTAAATATAATTAAATAATATCAATTAATTATTCTTACATGTCACATCAACTTTAATTTACTATTCATCTACTCACATAATTTTTTAGTTAACCATCACTTCGTGTCATATTTCTCCTATTTTTATTCAAATCAATTATAATTATTTGTGTAATATATACTCAAAATTTCACTAATAATTAACTATAACAGCCTTTTCAGAATCAACACTGGTTAACAAAAAAACTCAATTTGAGTAGAAATATTTTTATCCAAGCACGATACTAATCTATTTCAATGTGTTGGTGGTTACCTTACCACCAAGGGGTGGTGGCGCAGTTGGTTAGCGCGTAGGTCTCATAGCTTAAAGAGTAATCCTGAGGTCGAGAGTTCGAGCCTCTCTCACCCCATTCTTTTTTCACAACAATTTCCTTAAAAAAAAAATTCCAACCATTTTCATTTCAACTATTTTCTTAAAATTATTATTATATTTTTTCAACCATTTTCAACAATTTTCTTAAAATTATTAAGATCACAAACCATCGTCATCGTCCCAACAACCAAAACCCTAGTTCTCTCAAAACCCTCAATACCGACGAACGCAGAAACATGGTGAAGAAGAGCAAAAGTACGGTATTAAGATCTTCTTATTAAGACGTTCTTTAGGCCATATGTTCTTATTTTTTCAGATGCGCCCTTTTTAATTAAGAATAAAAATAAGATCTTTCATAATTTTGTGCACGTATATTCACAGAGAGCAAGAGCAAGAGGGTTTCTCTTAAGAAGAAGTACAAGATAATCAGGAAAGTGAAGGAGCACCACAAGAAGAAGGCCAAAGAAGCCAAGAAATTGGGCCTAAACAAGAAGCAGAAGGCCGAGAAGGATCCAGGCATACCCAATGACTGGCCCTTCAAGGAGCAGGAGCTCAAGGCCCTTGAGGCCCGACGTCAGCGCGCGATCCAGGAGCTCGAGGAGAAGAAGGCGGCCCGTAAAGAGAGGGTACAACACTTAATTTGCTCTCCCTTGTTTCAACCTCCTGTTATATGTTTTGGTTTCGTAAATAGGGTTTTTTTTATGCTAGTAGTGCTTATACTGGATTTCATAATTTTGTGTATTTGTTTGATTTGAAGCAATTAGAATAATGGGGAGTGGATGAGATTTGATTGACTCATTTCCTTGGGGTGGAATGTATTAGATATGCCGATAAGCATTTCGTGAGTTGAATCTCTAGAGCTGACTGAAGGCTTCCATCTCTTTTTTTTTCTTGGTGTTTCAAATTATACTCACTCAAACTTATGGCTGCGATGAAAAGGACTATTGAAACATGTGTTCGTTTATACTGCTCACTGTTGTTGGGTCACTTTCCAATTTTCTAACTTTGTTGAAAAATGCAATCTTTTTCACTTGTCTAGGCTAAAAAGAGAAAATTGGGGCTGTTGGAGGATGAAGAGATGAGAGAAGAAGGTTCTGATGGAGAGGATAAAGTAGCTGCTGATGTTTCTGACAGAATTCCTAAAACTCGAGGTATAAGAAAGATAAATCTCAAATCTTTTGGTGCTAAGATATCATTTGTTTAGTTTTGATGAAGGTCTCTTGTGGGGAGAGGATTTGTTTTACGTTTATGCCTTTTTAGAATTTCAGCATTTCTGAATTTGTTGCAGACAACTCGGAGAGAACTTTCTTCAAGGAGCTAGTCAAGGTGATTGAAAATTCTGATGTTATTCTAGAAGTTCTTGATGCTCGAGATCCCCTGGGTACTCGTTGTGTTGACATGGAAAAGATGGTGATGAAGTCGGGGGCTGAGAAGCGTCTCGTTTTGCTCCTCAATAAAATTGGTAAGCTTGGTCACATCCTATTTTGATCTGGTAAATCTCAAGAGAACTTCACATTCTGTTACCCAAAACTGAACCATTGTCTTAAAAAGCAGCAAATCCTGATTGTTCATGTGTGTTGATTATTAGTTTTCAGTGTCGATGTGAGATAACATTTGTCATTGTTGGGTTGTTTCTCCCTGTGACTCTGTGTGTTCTTTATCTTCGAGCTTTTACTGTATGTTTATTGTTTAGATTCTTAAACATGAAGGGTGGGTAGAAAATACTTGCTATGACAAAGAACTTAAAAACATATGTGGCTAACAGTGTATGTCTACAGATCTCGTTCCTCGTGAAGCTGCCGAGAAGTGGCTTAAGTATCTTAGAGAGGAGTTACCAGCAGTCGCGTTTAAATGCAGTACTCAAGAACAGAAATCGAACTTAGGATGGAAATCTGGTCGAAAGGCTGGGAAAACTGGCAAGGCGAACAATATCTTGCAAACAAGTGACTGTCTGGGGGCTGAGACTTTAATTAAGCTGCTGAAAAACTATTCAAGAAGCCATGAGGTATAGTTTAGTTTGGCAATTTCAAAATAGCCATACATTAATGGTAGGGCACATGCACCAAAAATTGCAATTTATTTACTTATTTATTTATTTTGTTTTTTCAGATAAAAAAATCGATCACTGTGGGTGTTATTGGCCTTCCAAATGTCGGTAAAAGTAGTCTAATTAACAGCTTGAAAAGATCACATGTTGTCAACGTTGGTGCCACGCCTGGACTCACAAGGTCCATGCAAGAAGTCCAGCTGGACAAAAACGTTAAATTACTAGACTGCCCTGGGGTCGTTATGCTTAAATCTACCGAGAATGATTCTTCGGTTGCTCTTCGAAATTGCAAGAGAATTGAAAAGTTAGACGATCCAGTTGGTCCTGGTGAATGAATTTTTTTTAACCAACTTAGCTACTGATTTTACCTTTACAAGAGTATCAAAAAGTTTTGATTTTACTGCTAGTTATTTATTTACCTAAGTTCCATGACTGTTCGCAGTTAAGGAAATTCTGAAGCTTTGTCCGGAGAAAGTGTTGGTGACGATATACAAAATCCCGGGCTTTGATTCTGTTGATGAATTCCTTCAGAATGTTGCTACAGTGAGGGGCAAACTCAAAAAAGGTGGCATTTTGGATGTGGATGCCGCTGCAAGGATTGTTTTGCACGACTGGAACGAGGGTAAATTAGTCTTTTTGTTGTACTTCTTGCAATTCCTAAAATCGAAATATAGTACAAATAACTTAACTTTACTTCGTTATGCACAGGTAAAATTCCATATTATACGATGCCTCCAACTAGAAATGTGGAGGAGCTTTCCGAGGCAAGAATCGTCCCTGAACTTGGTAAGGAATTCAATGTGGACGAAGTTTACGGTGGCGAGTCAACATTTATCGGCAGTTTAAAATCTGTCAATGAATTCAATCCTGTTGAAGTACCTCCGAACAATCCATTTAATTTCGATCTGATAGTTGAGGTTTGTGACTTCTTTTCTTCATTTTTTCTTCCCTTCAGATTTCAATCAGTTTAAAATCTCTGTTTTTTATTTTTTTTCCTCCTTTAAGTTGATGTATGTAATTACCAAAAAAACTTAACTGTGAAAAATGTGCAGGGTGATGGAGAACTGCAGGCTCCGGTTGAAGGTGGTGATGCTGATCAGAGTATGGAAACTAATGAAGAGAGTTCCCAACCGGAAAATGTGAAATCCGGCAATACCTCAAAGAAGCAAAACGAGAAGCTGTATGCAGAGGAAGGTATGCTCAATACAAAGATAAGAAAAGCGGAGAAGAAGAAGCTTAAAAGGGAAAGTCAGCCAGCTGCAATGGAACATGATGCGAATGATGATTACGATTTTAAGGTTGATTACATCAGGAAGGATACTGAGATGGATGGTGATGATGATGATGTTGTGGCAGGTGAAGGCCAAAAGAATAGGTTTGAGCTGCCATCTGGAGTTGAGTTGGATAATGAGTGAAATGAAAAAGTAACTCTTAGACTAAAGTTGCTTAAATTATCATTTATCATTTCTGACTGTACGGGTCACATTTCAAATGTGTTAACAGTTTTGTAGGACAACAATTTGATGAGAACTTTACAAGCTTTTAAATGTTAGTACTTTGGTCTGCATTTACACAGATGTGTAAAAAATTGTTATGAACACATAAAATAATATTATATGTCTATTATAACTCAAAAAATTAAGTAGCCGTGAAATAGAAAAATACGTGATTAATAAGTTTACATACTATTAAGTGTGTTAATAAACTTTTAGAGAATTATTGATTTCTAAATATATATGCCAATCAAATAGTTGATAATATCATAATAGTGATTGTGACTATTACCAAATAAATAGAGAAATTTCAACATCAGGATATTCATAAAATACAACAATTACCAATCTAATTAATGCAAAATGTGCAGTTGTTTCATACTTTTTGCCTTTCATGGCAATACTTTGTAAGTATAAACAATGTCATGTATTAGACAAATGAGGTCTAGAAATGATAATGAGTTCCAGAAATAACTTATAGGTCCCAAAAACGATATTTTGAATTCAAAATATGATTTTTGGAATACCAGAAAGGATTTCTACTAAGTATAGACAATGTTGTGTATTAGGCAGATGTGTTCAGAAATGGTAACGAGATCCAAAATGATTTCATTACCCCAGAAACCATTTATTGAATTCAAGATATAATTCTTGAATTCCATAAATGAATTCTAGTAAGTATAAACAATCTATACCTATATTAAAGGGGGTACTATTTACTAAATGTAGTATGTAGAATAGTCAACCTTAATTAATGATTTGCTATTTTTATCAATCATTTAATTAATGCATCTAATATTTTTGGTATGCAAATCAAATTAGCATTTAATTAGTTCCTAAAATATTGGGTATGCAATATTAATTTAGAAATATCTATGTAGTTCCTAAAATGTAGGTATGCAATATGTAAATGAAGATTTTTTATTTTTTTAAATATAAAATATTGCAACGCTTACAACTATTTCAGTTATTTTTTTATTTTATTTTACATATAAAATTTAATCAATATTTAATGCATCCTACAAAATTGGATTTAGTTTAATTCTCCATACAATTGGTTGTAACTTTTTTAGTTGTACATTTTTTTATTTATTTATTGTACACTTTTAAATTAATGAATCTCTTCGAAAATACCAAATCAAATGATTTATGAAAGTTTTTTTTTTTTTTACAATTTTAATTCTATATACCCAGCTTAAAAAACTCATCGCATGGACGAGTTTAAGAAAATTTCATAACCCAGCTTATAAAATTCCATCTCCACGAGTAAAAAAAATCACATCCCTACTATAAATCCACTATCTATATAGATTTTTTAAAAATGTAAATTTCACCTGTCTCATTACTAATATTTTAGATACTTTTAAATATTATTTGTATAATTTTTTTTAACACATTTGCTCTCTCTCTCTCTCTATATATATATATATATATACATATATGAAGGTTAAATGAAAAATTTTTAGACATATTTTCCTTACGGGTAGTTTAGAAAAATTTAGGTAGCTTCAAACATTATTTGTGAATAATATAGAATATTTTAGATGATTTTATAGATGTTATAAAATATTTTAAGTATTTTTAAATATTTTAAGTATTTTTAATATTTATATATCATACTTAAAAAGAATATTTTGCCAAAAAAAAAACATTAAATACACATTGTAAATGTTAATAGAAACAGTCTTCAGTATTCATCTTTGATTTTGTCAAAACAAATCTTATAAAATCGGTGAAGTCAAAATTTGTACGTAAAGTCTATCTATACTAAAAAAAGGTAGATTCAAAATTCTTTATCTAATTTCTTTTTTTCCTTATCTAATTCATTCTTATTATCTAATTGTATAGAAATCTGTTCTGATTTTGTGTAATCCTCTAATTGTATTTGTATCATATCCGATAAAATCGGTTTAACAAAAAAATCCCATAACATCCAATAAGTAAAAAAAAGTACGTAAAATCTTTATTAAAATAAAAAGGCTTTATTTATTATCTAATTTATTATCTAATTGTATGAAAATCTGTTTTAATTTTATATTACGTACTACAAATTGTGCACCCGTGTTCAGGAGCTACTTAACCGGCAAGTTATGTGGAAATAACTCATTTAGTGCTTCTGTCCCGTGCATACGGTATGTATTTGTATTACACATACTAGAAAATTATGCACCCCGTGCATCGCACGGACTCTGTACTAATAAATGACCTTAAAATTATGCACCCCGTGCATCACCCGTGTTCACATTTTGGCCTATTACAGGTTATGTACTATATATACCCTGTACATTTTCCTTTATTCATTTATATAATTATAAAACTTGATAAATAGCTTTAATTTTGTGCACCCCGTGCATCGCACGGGATCTGTACTAGTATCATGTATTAGACAGATGAGGTCTAGAAATGGTGACGGGTTCCAAAAATGATTTCTAGATCCTAGAAACCATTTCTTAAATTCTACGTATGATTTCTAGCATCCAAAAACGATTTCTATTATGTAAGATGATTTCTTGAATCTTTTGAACAAAATTTAGAATTTTTTTTACAGGATTTATACACTTTCTAGAACTATACAAATGATTTCTGGAAATTCAAAAATTATTTTTGGGAGTAGGAAATTGAGCATTACAAAGAAAGACATGATAAATGGTTAAAATACCTTTAGACGAATATGCTCGAAATGTTGCCGGAATCTTCTCGGCTTGCTATGAATTCAAGAGGAGAGATGATAGAAATATTGAAGTGTTGACTTTTAATAATAAATATAGAGTAAAGGTAAATTTATCTTTTTTATATGATAAAATGGCTAATATTTAGACTTTTACAAAACATGGCCATTTTCCATCTTTAGGAATTCTAGTTGGGTAAAAAGCCAACTGGCTCATACTTGTAGGCTTGTAGCTATATAGTAACACAACAGCAGAGTATGGTCATAAGATCACAACTCAATTAAAATTCTGAGGGTCTTCAGTGGAAGGTTCTGATTCCAAGGATGAGTCTATTGAGGTCACAGAACCAGAAACTGCGGATGCATTTATGGTAACACCGTTAACTGCTGATACTTTATCTGCAGCTGGAGACTTTGTAATTATTTGTCCCTGCAACTCCATGGCTTCCTTTGCAGCTTGCTCCTTGGCTCGTCTAGCCTTTTCCAGCACCTCCTCCTTAAAACGATGACAAATGCATAAAGATGATTGAGATGAGTATTTCAGCAAATTACATATCAACTTTATCAACTCAGTACATTAAGGTCTTTTTTTTTAGGTCAATAGTAAGGGCATGAGCAAGTATCTAAAAATCCAAAATTATGGGCAAGTGAATGCAGTACCAGATGATGTTGGGTTAATGAGTTTCCAATAAACTATAACTGTGCGAAAAAATTATCACATAATTCACGCACACACCTGAAATTCTTGTACTTGCTTTTGTTGCTCAGCTTGCAATCTGCCAATTGTGCTCAGGAACTCGCCCACAGCTGATTCTATCCTCTCGCTAACGGCTTCTCCCACAGCTTTCCCCAAGAAAAATGCATCCAGAATTGTTTTGCTCTCATTTTCACCTGCAAAAATCGCCATTCTCAGTTAATTGACTGATATTTTCGATTTTGGGGAAAAGAGGTATCCCTTTTAGAGAACAATGAAAGTGGTGGTGAAAGAAGTACTGTGTAAGGAATAATGGCGCCAGCTTCATGCAATAATTTCACCACAACTTTATAAGTTAAGGTAAACAGGATGAACTGTCTAAAGTGCCTTTTTTATCAATAAACCTCAGCAGCTAGCACAGATTATATTATATGGTCGTTCTTTACCAAATGATAGTTCACAAGGGGACTTGATTTAAGATGTTCTATACTTCCTTTTTGCCCAAATGTTTTTCTATGAATCAAAATTGTTTAGACCCGGAGCATGAGCATATCAAGCAACATGCAACAAAAAAATCTGATCATGAAACTATTGAACTCACTTACTCTCAAGCATAATGGGCTTTGCAGCACCCAAATTTTCCACCAGTTTCTTCTTACTTTAGTTTTTTAACAACCGCCTCACTAATTCTAGGCATAGCAAGAACTTCCACGATTCAAAAAATGAAACGAAAACCATTTGCCCAGTCAGGTCACCACTAGCCATTTCCATATGTTTTCGGAGCCACATATTTTCTTCCATCATAAAACTTTACAGGGAAATTGCAACCAGATGCACTTGAATCCAAACAAATTCTAACTCGAATTCAAATAATGCGAACCAAACAAATTCAGCATAACTCGCAATCAAACAGCAGATTCATTAACCATGGAAGAGGATTTGGAGAATTAATTGTCTCAAATCCGGAGTTCAAGATCCAGAATTTCCATTTCCTTCACATCAAACAGAATCAACTCTAACAGAGACGGGTCAATGAAAACTTTAGCAAATTTCTCTATCTAAGCAACACGTGATATACAATACCCACTATTAGATGGAGAGAGAGAGAGAGAGAGAGAGAGAGAGAGTTGTACCAGAATCGCGAGCACAGTTGCACCTGAAATTGATTTGTGGAAGCTTCTGTAACGGAGAAGAGAAGACGTTGAGGGTCGAGGGGCAGAGACGGGAGGCGCGTGGGTTCACGAAAGAAGGAGGTTGTGAAGATACGGCGTAGAGCATTTGCGGTGATGTCACTCCCACTTTCATTTCTTCCCAACTTTGTGCGTGCTCTCGTTTCTTTCTTCTCAACTTCTTTGAGTGTGGGATTTTGCGAGAACATGTTAATGTGTTTTCTTTGTGTTTACATTAAAACTATGGTGAGCATCACTCCGGTTTGGTAAAAAATCGAATTGCACAAAAANTTCTCCCGTCTTCACCTCCTCGAGTGGTCCCGATCTCGCAGTGATTGCCATGGCGGGCGGCACTTGCGACTATTGTCTGGCGGATGTCGCGAACGTCCTTGCGGCGGTCGATGGCGGTGGTGTAGTTGTGGTTCCCCCTTGCTTGGAAGATGGGGGCCTCCGGCAGCGGCTGTGCAGTGATGCGGCGACTCCGGCGTACGCGTGTGGTGGGGGGGGAGGGGGGGTTATGGAGTGGTCTGGTCTGGGTTGGGTCTGTAGAATATCGGGGGAGAGGGCTGTCGAGTTGTGTGGTCCGAATCTGGTTAGTCCATTAGGGGAGTTTCTGGGTCTGTTGTGTTCGGGTCGTGGATCTCGTGACTTTTCTCGGTATTTCTCGATGGGTGTTTGCCTGAGGTGTGGTGGTTCTGGGATTTCCCGTCCGGTGGGGAGGACATAGCTTTTTGGTTGGTTGAGTTATTTTATTTTATATCTTTTAAGTTTTTCAACTCAAGATCCAACCTAATCAACTTTCTTCAATATTATGAATATAATTAAATAATATCAATAAATCATTCTCATACATCACATTAACTTTTTTTCATTATTCATCAACTCATATAATTTTAACTATCTATCACTAGACATGCCAGTTGATGCCAGACCTGACGGGTCGCTGAGTCTGAAAACAGGTACCTAGAATCGGCCCGAATGTAAGTACGGGCCAGTTCACAGGCCCAGCGGTTCTGGGCCGGTTCACCGACCCGACGATTCAGTGACCGATCGATTTACAGAGAAAAAAAAAAAAAATTCCCAGTCTCCAGGCCCAAAACCAGCGGGTTAAAAAAAATAAGATCCAAAATTGACCCGTATGTAGCACGAGTCTGGTTCAATGACCCGTGCATACGGGCCGGTTCCAGGCCGACCTGGCCGTCCAGACCGACCTTGGACATGTCTAATCTATCACTTCAAATAACATTTTTTCTACTTTTATATCACACCAACTTTAATCAATATTATATTTTAAATATTATTTAATTACAAACCAAAATGTCACTCAATTATTCACTCAATCAACATTATTCTAAATAACTCACAGTAGTCAGCTAAATCCAACCAAAACCGGTTAGATTCATATCTAATCGCCCCTGAATGATTCACTTCCAAATTGAGTTCCATAATGTATTCAACCCCAAAATATTAATGCTCCATTCATTTAAACTTATCACTTCTAAAACATTCAATCGACCATGTTGTTGCTTTTATAATGCTTAATCACTAAGGAACCAATTGAATATAAGTTTTTTCCAATTTGTGTAGCCCCATTTTTTTTACAACAATGTAGGATTAAATATAAGTTTTTTTTTTTATATATAAATATTCATTATCAGTTTTTTCTCACTAATCTCATCAACACAATTAATAATAATAGTAAATTACTACCATACATTTTTCAATAAAATCTTATATTAAGAGTTTGTTTGTAAACACTTCTCAAATATACTTTTGAATGCAAAAGTCCATTTGGAGAAATATATATATGTTGACGGTCGTTTCTGCCAGCCTACCCCGCAGGGGGGGTGGGGCCCCCGGTGGGCCCTGACCATGCACCGGGGACTCATGGACTTCCACAGTGCTCTGTCCGTAGGGTGAAAACCCATCGTAGGACTCCCTGTGGTTTTTGCCCTCCCCAGGACTCGAACCCCGCACCCTGAGCATAAGGGGAGATTCATGACAAGTCCTGGTACCATCACGCCATACAGAGCACTGTGGAAGTCCATGAGTCCTCGGTGTATGGTCATGGCCCACCGGGGGCCCCACCCCCCCTGCGGGGAATGCTGGCGGGAACGACCGTCAACAATATGTTTGATGTTAAATTAAAAATAGACTTATGGGTAAGTTGTTGCTCCGAAAAGTCAATTATATAGAAGTACAGGATTGAGACCTTTGATGAAGTCCATTTTGCATAAGTCTGTATCAGAAATGGACTTTTTTAAAAATGCTCTCACGCAAACCACTAATTCATTCTCCTTTTTTTAACTATCAATCATTTACATTTATTATTTTGTTTTTATTTTTTCTCACATCAATTTTAACTAGGACTATAAATGAGTCGAGCCGAGCTTGAAATCAGGGTGCTCGAACTTGAGCTCAAGCCCTTAACGAGTCGAGTTCGATTCGACTTGTTAAGTAAATAAGCTAAAAATGGAGTTCGAGATGAATTCATTTATCCATATTAAGAGCCGAGTTCGAGCCTTAACGAATCTATCTCGAGCCAAAATATAGTATAATATATAAAAAAAATCTCCTTTCAAGCCTCATCAAGCTGTGTTGAGGCCAACTCGTTAACCAAATGAGTCGAGTTCACGAGCAGCTCGTTTCGTTGGTCCGCTCTTGTTTTAATCATTATTTTTTATACCAATTCAAAATCTAAAAGATATTTTTTCTTAAAAAAAATGAAACTATTTTTCATTAAACATTCAAACATTTTTTTTAAAAATAATCTAAAATGATCAAGTATTAAAACCAATTAATAAGTCTAAAATAAATTTAAATCAAGATATCACGCTCCCTTCTTCCATTTTCCAAATGTTGCCCACTTTCTCTCTCTGTACTCTCCTCTACAATCCATAGCGATAAAAGTATTGCTTTCCCCCTCGTTTGCTTTCACTGCTTATTGCCCTCTTTTTACTCTCTCTCTCCCCAGAAGTTCTGCACAGATAGATAGAGGCTTCGTCTAGGGTTCAATCGAAGGAGAAAGGTGAAACAGAAATGGGACAGCAATCGTTGATCTACAGCTTCGTGGCGCGGGGGACGGTGATCCTTGCCGAGTACACCGAGTTCACCGGCAATTTCACCGGAATCGCCGCACAGTGCCTTCAGAAACTCCCCGCCTCCAACAATAAGTTCACTTACAACTGCGATGGCCACACCTTCAACTACCTTGTCGAGGATGGATTCAGTGAGTAGAGCCTTCCATTGATCTGAACTGATCGTTCGTTTTCATTTCAATTTCTCGATCCGACTGTTGAATATAGGTTTTCATATGATGTTTGGTTTGCTTGACTATCGTCTTCTGAGTTTGACTTGGGGTTTCCTGAGATTTTTTTTTTAATTATTTGATGATTCGTGTGCTAGATATTGGATCTTAAATGAATGTGACTGTCCTTTTTTTGGTTGGGTTGGGAATAAACTGTTACTGGATGCGGATCTGTTATCAAATTCGGAGATGTTATGTTATCAAACTTGATGAATGGCAATGCGATGTCGTAAAATTGAAAAAGTGAGTATGAGATGATAAGAATTTCTCAGAGTGCCGGAGCTGAGGCCTTGATGAATTTTCAAGTGGGTTTAATAGACCTATCAAAATTTTTATGTTATATATATCCATTAATATGTAGTCTGGTTTCTTTTTTACAAAAAAAAAAACACTGGACAAAATTATTTTGATATCCATTAATATGTCAAAGGCCTTTGCAGTACTTCCTGCAGTTTGTATGCATTTTATTTAATTGTAACTCATGTGCTTTTTATCAAGTTCGTTACATAATTTTGTGTGCATGAACAGAAGATGGGTCCTGATCACTTTTTTGGTAATAGTTTCTGGTTGTTAATGGAACATTTATAAATCTGGGGAATAAGCTGATGATATAATTTGATGTAATGGTTTCAATTATTTAAATTTTGCCAGTTTTTGATAATATTCTTTCTGGTACATGTCATACAATGAATACTAAGTAGTCCTATGCGTGTTGCTGACTCTTTTAGATTCAGTATTTCTTTAGCCAATAATGGGATTAAAACTGTAATGACTGCAGTCACATTTGGTTTCACTTGTGGGTGTTAGATTATATGATATAAGAGCTCTTTCTTGCCTGATATAAGTCTACATTGTGCTCCACCAATTTTGTTTTGGGGGATCATAAATGTAATGGGATTAAAACTGTAATGACTGCAGTCACATTTGGTTTCACTTGTGGGTGTTAGATTATATGATATAAGAGCTCTTTCTTGCCTGATATAAGTCTACATTGTGCTCCACCAATTTTGTTTTGGGGGATAATGGATTACATTTATGATTGACAGCTTATTGTGTTGTGGCTGTTGAATCTGTTGGAAGACAAATTCCTATTGCATTTCTTGAGCGGATTAAGGAGGATTTTACCAAGAAATATACTGGTGGAAAAGCAGCTACAGCTGTTGCCAATAGCCTGAATAGAGAATTTGGGTAATCTCGGCTTTGGCTTCTAAGACTTCTCTTCCCTCCACTTTTTTTCAGTTACGTGCTGATTCATGGTTCTCCTTTACAAATAATATGTCCGACTTAATCGTAGGCCTAAGTTGAAGGAGCAAATGCAATACTGTGCGGATCATCCAGAGGAGGTCAGCAAACTTGCAAAAGTGAAAGCTCAGGTCTCAGAAGTTAAAGGGGTGATGATGGAAAACATTGAAAAGGTAAAATATTTCCATCATGTCTTTAAAGTGTAAAAGTATGGAAATGGTGCATCTTTCAGAACTAAGAGTTGTTCTTTGCAGGTTCTTGATCGTGGAGAGAAAATTGAGCTTTTGGTGGATAAAACTGAGAATCTTCGTTCACAGGTCTGTATATTGCACGTTGCTTATGCGCTATATCCTGTTTCTTGAAAAATGTGCCGTGCGACATCCACCGAGAGTTAAAGTTACATGCTTCATACCTGCAATTTAATCAGACATTTGGTTAATATTTCTGATATTAAACTGGTCAGTTAACATCAGCATTTTCATGAACATGTAGGGATTTTTTTAGCTAAAATTATAACCGTACAATTAGGATGTAGTGCAATTGGATTTCTCAAAGAAAAATAAAACAATCCCAGGGGGCCAAAAAGATCTGGTACACCTCTTGGTAATTGTTGTTTATTCAAATGGATATAATGGCCCTAGCATTTTTTAATTGATTATCTCAATTGGCATTCCTCTCCGAAGGTTTTCCACACACAGCTGTGTTGGTTCTGCGAGTAAATTTCATTACTGGTTGATACCTTGGCATTTCGCTGCAGCTCTTAGTCATTAGAATATGGAATGAATTAGATTCGCTTAACTTTTTTGTTTCTTTTCAATATAATATCTTGTTGTGGATATTTATTCGCTTGAATTCTGTATTGTTAGTTTTCTACTACTGCAATTCTTGTGGTCTCATGAGTAAATAAAAATGATTTTTTATATGTTGTCAAAAATTTGTTGCCATAGGCGCAAGATTTCAGGACTCAGGGAACCAAGATGAGGAGAAAGATGTGGTTGCAGAATATGAAGATAAAGCTGATTGTGCTGGGCATTATCATTGCACTCATCCTCATCATAGTTTTATCAGTTTGTGGTGGTTTCAAGTGTCACTAATAAGTGTGTCTTTTCGTGACATAGCCGTCCCAGTGGGCACCCACTCATGTGTTGCTCTTGACATATGAGTAGCTTTCGTTCCGACAATTTTTATTTTTTTTTTTCCTGCTCTTTCTTGATTTGGCCTTCACTGTAAACCTTTGTGAGACTGCTTGTATAGTTTGTTATCATGAGACCTCCAAAAATATTAGTATAAGTCTTCCATATGTTTTGCCACATTAAAGTGTGCTGTTTTTGGTA